ACAGTCGCTAATGCCCACGTCTATAGGACAGTCATTGATGAATTCCTAATTGCCCAAAATGGATTTTCTTTTGCTTTTAGTTTGTTTGGCCACTGGGTGTCATTCAGACCTGTTTCCCATGCCCTTTCCCCAGCGCCTGTATGGCTACACCATGCTTCTTGCCTCCTGGGCCACACCAGCGTCACCGTTTGCTCCTCTTCTCTCACCCGGAATTACTCCCAGGGATGTACTAAAGGCCCCTTTCCTTCCCATTCTATCCGTTTCTTTCAGATCTCCAAGTTTCTGAGTCTAACCCCACCTGTGTGCTGACGAGTCCCAGCCCACCTCCCTCCTCCCAGACCATGCTGTGTTGGGAACCTGTGCATCCAGCTTCCCACCAAGTGTCTCCTCCTCCTGCACGTTTCCCTCCTTCGCCCTCTAACCCCTTCTCAGTCCAGCTTCCAGAGTAATCTTCCTAAAACAACATTTGGTGGCATGAGGGCGACCAAACAAAGTAGCCCCATCTGATAGCTCCTTGTCAGTCAGCAAGAAAAGGTCCGCACATTGGGGAATTTGGCCTTTATAGAAAGAAAAGTAACATTCCATTTAAAAACTTAAAAAAAGAGGAACCTAACTCTTCAGGACTTTGCCGTGAGATTGTCAAGGAGCCTCTGTGCCACGTAAGACGTCACAGACTGTCCTCGTTGCTGCAAAGCACCGGGAGCAATCTGCCACGGAAGGGCGATCTGGGAAGCCACCTGACCGGTCTCACACAATGACAGTGTGTCCCAGTTCATTGGAAATGGGAGAACCGGGGCTCCTCGGTGGCTCAGTCTGTTAAGCATCGGACTCTTGGTTTCAGCACTGGTCATGATCTCATGGGTCATGGGATCGAGCCCCATGTCAGGCTCCATGCTCCACGCAGAGTCCCCTTGAGATTCTCTCCCCCAGCCTGTCCCCTCCCCCAACACCAAATCTTTATTTTTTTTCAAGGAATAGAGATAGAACGTTTATTCGTAACTCATTTTATGAGGCCAGCGTAACCCCGATTCAAAAATATAATGAGAAAATTACAATAGTTCTTTTAATAGACACACAAATTAGAGCAAAATATTAGAAAAATCAAACCCAGAGAATGTGTTAAAAGGATAATATGTCATGACCAAATTGGCTTATTCTAGAATTTTTTAAATGGTTCGAATCAAGTAAATCTTAAAAAAAAAAAAAAAGTGGAAGAACAAGTTTGAGGCACCCTTCCCTCCACAGCCCTCCCTGTGCTTACTGTACGTGACAGCTGCCCAGCTCGTGTGCGGGGACCGATCAAGAATGCCGATGTCCCTGTGGCCAAAATGAGTAGACATGTGATGTTTAATCATTTCTTTTCCTGTCCCATACCCCCCCCCCCCAAATCTGGAGGATTGTTCTTAAATCCTGTGGGTGGGGGTTTTTCCTTCAGATCCTCAGAATCACGATTCATCAAAAATCTCAACCTTGGTTTTGTTTTGTTTTGTTTTGTTTTTCATTCATCCCAGCTTTCGGTGTATATCATACCTGAGATTCCCAATGTGCCCTTTCAAAACGATAGTGAAAGTTAAATTATCTTCTAGTCATGGGGGTAGAGGGGTGGGGAGGTATACTTTCTGTAATTTGAATTTTAAGATCCTTTTTTTTTTTTTTTGCTGAATACAAAACCATGATGTTCCTTAATGACCTTGCAAATCACATCTGTCCTCCATCTCCCTCTATCCATTTTCCAGTGCTTGCCCACCCCGCCGCCGCTCTTAAAAATCAGTGACGTAGAGAAAAACAGTTTTCATGATCTCTAAACTATACGTGACTCCCACATGCCCCATGTTAAACGTGGGCATTTCTGTGTCTTACTATTGTTTTAACATTTGGTCCTCCGCCTAGGGAGTGGGCGGGGCTCTGTAAGCCGCTTCTACTCAAGCCTCCACAGAGAAAGAGATAATTTGTTACAAGGTAGAGTTTCAAGCCAGGCTTTGGCCGGGGTCTTTCCCACTTGGGAGGAGGAAAGTAGAAACAGCCAGCAAGATGATCATTCTTGAATTTTAGCTCATTAAAATCTTCCTTGCTCCTCAGTGAGTGATTTATTGATTCAAGCATCTAGCAGTTTTCCTCTCCAGAAAGAATTAGCATCTCCAGCGAGATCACTGCTAATGGCGGAGATTTTCATCTTTTCTCTGTGGGATCGGCCATCTTCCCGTTGCTCATTTAGCACAGCCCACTCCAGGGTTGTGTTTAAACATGGAGCTGAGGAGTGGGAATGAGCTCCCTGAGATTTATAGGTAATGAAAAGAACAGGTTGTGTCAAAGGCACCACATGTAGGAAACTAAGTGTTCTTCAGGGACCTGTGCGAACCTCTGATCCTTGGCTTTTTCCAAAATGAATGTTTCAGCCTTGTACATACTAACTTTCTCTTTACAGAAGTTTTAACATGTTGTTTTTGCTGCTGTTGTGCGGGAAAATGTAGCGACATGGTGTTTCTTACCTGCTGAGCATTTCCAACAAGAGTTAAACGTTTGAGTTCCTTTTGGAGCTTAGTGTGGTTGCGTATCTGCAATGGGATCAGTACATGAAGAAATACATGTTTTTATTCAGATGTTTAAAGTCCTCTTTCCTTGGGGTGCCTGGGTGACTTCGTAGGTTAAGTGTCTGCCTTCAGCTCAGGTCATGATCTCAGGGTCCTGGGATCGAGCCCCACGTCAGTCTCCCTGCTCAGTGGGAAGCCTGTTTCTCCCTCACTCTGCTCGTGTATGCGCTCTCTCTCTGTCTCTCTCTGTCTCTCTCTCCCTCTCAAATAAATAAATAAATAAATCTTTTAAAAAGATGAAAATAAAATCCTCTTTCCTTAAGAATAGTTTCCCTCCCTAAATAAAACATCACCCAAAAATCTTGGTGCTTTTCAGATCTGTCTGTGGAGAACATATGACGTGAACCACACTTGGATGCTGGTGATGTTAGCTTCCAGTATCTTCTGAATTCCGTTTCATAGTGTTGTGTTCTCACAGGGTTTTGGGGGTTTTTTTTGTTTTTTTTTTTAAATGATGGTTGTTTTAGGAAAGACTTCTCTTCTTTTTAGTGTGACCAATGCAGTTGATTTACTGTGACACCATTTCAGTATATTCTTCCTGTGCCTTAATGAAGTACGAGAGGGAAAAGCAGTGAGCACTGTTTGGCTCATTAGTGGGACCCAGCAAATGTTAATTCCCTTTTCCCTGCTGGCGTGATCAAACTGATCCATGTTCCCAGGATGGCAACTTTAAAGGTTGGCTTTATCGGCTCTTTGTAAAGACATGCCTTTTAAATTGTTGCCATGTTCATCCTCTATCGGGGGACTTGGAACTGTTCTAGACCTTGGCTTTTTTGTCTTCATAAACCAGGGAGGACCGTCATGGATTTGCTTCCCCTCACTGCCATCTCTCGCCCCAAGATTTCTGAGAGACGTTAGTGGGTGCAGCCTCTTGTCCAGACTGTGCTACAGAGTCCTAGGCTGAGTTGTTCAGCTGGTGCTACCCCAGGCTCTTCAGCCACGAGCCTGTCCAAGCCAAGAACGGATGAGGGCGCGTGGAGCACGTTCGTTGAGGGGGCGGTTGGGTGGTGGTCATGGCTGTGGGGCGGTTTTCCTGTTTCGTCTGCCCCTCCTCTGTCTGGTTCTAAAGAATCTGCAGTCAGTTATAGGGCGCCGAAGTCTGTGGAAAAAGCAATGGGAGAAGGAAAGCAGTGTGGGAGAATGGAGGGTGGGCACTGTCTCTTTCTTCCCTGTGGAGTGTCCTGAGACTGGCTCCCCAGGGGAAACAGGAATTCCCAGAGAGGTACTTACACTCTCTGAGCCTCAGTTTCCTTGTCTGTGAAATGGGTGCAGTAGCACCAGCCCACATAGTTACATGTGCAGTCATAGCTATTTCCCCCACAGGGTCCCATATTCCTCCTTGACCTCTTGCCCTCCACATAAACAGATCTGGTTTGTGACTGTTGGTTGCTTAGTGGGGACAGTACTGGGACAGGCGGTCATTCTTTGGTTGAGGTCAGAGCCAGTCTCTTCTAAATGTCACCTTCCTACCAGACATGTTCCTCCAGCACTGTTACCAAAATCGGACAGGACAGTTGTGATGAATGTGTTGTGTGCTAATAGTTGCATTCTTTTGTTTTTCTTTAAAAAAAAAAAAAAAAGGAAAAACCCAAAAACCAAAAACGAGCAGTCTGACAGGAGACTAAGCAGAGCCTCCAGGAAAATGAGATTTTTTTCTTGAGCTCTTGAAAAAAGCCTCCCATAGATCCAGTAAAAGTTGCATGTGGGCCTAATTTGGATTGTGTGGTTGGACAAGCCAACAGGCTGCCCGAACTGGCCAGATCTTCCTGTGGCTTCCCAGCAACCACCCCCGTCTTCCCCGCTCAGCTGCCACATGACTCCAGATGCCACCCACCCCGTATACCTTTCAGTTTCCTGCTTCTATCTGCAGTTTTTGTGGTCCCATCCTTTTTCTTTTTTCTTTCTTTTTTTTTTAAGATTTTATTTATTTATTTGACAGGCAGAGATCACAAGTAGGCAGAGAGGCAGGCAGAGAGAGAGGGAAGCAGACTCCCCGCTGACCAGAGAGCCCCATGCGGGGCTCGATCCCAGGACCCTGGGATCATGACCTGAGCCGAAGGCAGAGGCTTAACCCACTGAGCCACCCAGGTGTCCCTCATCCTTTTTCTTGATGCTGCAGTTAGCGGTGAAGACACGTGGATGGCGATGCTGCCCACAGTGGAAGCGCTGCACTGACTGCCCTAAAGAAACTTTGCCCCTTTTCCTTTCCTTTCTGGGCCAAGATAGTCAGTCCCTGTGCTGACATGTGCTGCATTAGGAAATCCATGATGTGATTCTGTGCACGTCATCTGTGTGGCACCAACCTCAGAATGGTTGTCATCTGCTATCGAAATCAGGCGACACAGTTCGCTCTTCACATGTTGCTGTCACAGATTAAAATGAGCGCGGTGTTTCTCTTTTTCCTTCTAGCTTCATGAGGCTGATATTGTGGTCTTGGGCTCTCCCAAGCCAGAAGAGATTCCCCTTTCTTGGATACAACAAGGAACAACGGTTCTCAACTGTTCCCATGACTTCCTGTCAGGTGCGTAAATGTCTTAAAATTGGTGTTGGGCTACTGATGAAAAGAGGCGAGATGGTTATGAGACGTGAACCTTACATTCAGAAGAGAGGATGTCCCTGAAGGGTTGCTCGTCGTCAGCATCCGTGCACAGGACAGGGAACTCAGAATGTGGATGGGCCTACCTTTTGGGTTACCCCATGTTGAAGCCATATTTTTGGGCAAAGAGAAGGTAAGATGCCAACCACAGTAGCCGCCCCCTGCTCCCACATGCAGACGTGCCCCTGCTGGCCTCTAGCGTTGAGCGGTCCAGTCACTCATGACCTGAAGTAGGTAGTTTGTCCATGTGTGAGGTACACTAGAAATAGTGGTTTTCAGACTCATACAATGAAGCAGAATCTGTTCTCCCAAAGAAATCTTAGGTGACCTTCAGCATGTCAAAGCAGATGAAAACAGTTGCTGGAAGGGATGGGATGGTCGGAAGTTGAGCCAAAGTGGGTGGAGACCCTCTTTCATGTCTGCCAGGACCACCTGGGGGTTTCTAGGTCTCGAAACCCAGACTGCTCCACAGGAGCAGCGAAATAGAGAATAGTATCCGATTGTGTGTGTTTATGTAAAACTTTGACCCACTCACCTTGAGATAACTATTCTGCATTTTTCCACAAAAAAAAAAAAAAATGCACTGAACTTAATTCAATTGGAATATGATAGAAGGAAAAGAAAACAATGTGATATTATCAATGTTACTGAAATTCATGTCATAACTGTTTCTTCAAAAAAGGAAAATAATGGACCCACCCCACTAGGAAATGTCACCCCTCCCAGAATTAACCAGTCAGATTAAAAAACCTTCTGGGGCTTCAGGGGGTGGGGTGGATTGGAAGATGAGAGGGACGATACTCAGGAATTTCCCAGAATGCTCGGGTACTTGGCTCTTGGATGGAGAGCGCACAGATGAATGAAGCAATTAGAGGTATAATGCGAATGTAGGATTCATTGCTCCTTTTAGCAAATAGAAGGCTTGCACTAAATGACTTCTTTGAAGTATATCTCATTTCAGGAAATAACTTTCTCTCCCCACCTGAAAAAAATGCCTAACCCATAAATTATGGGCATGCAGATTTGCTTCTCTGCTTAGCATTTAGATTAGGAATTCAGTTATGAATTCATGTTCTTTTAAATGAATGCTTCTTTGCTGTTATATTTACTTGCTTTTTTTTTTTTTTCTTTTTAATTAGAGTTTATATATTTAGGACAGTTTTGGCATAATCCTGGCTGGAGAGAGAGAGGCTGCTTTTGGAATCCCTTTGAGCCCTATGGTTTAATATATGAAGGTGACATATATTTTTTTAGTGAAACTGCCTGATTTTTAATACAGTTCTTTTGAGGATATTTAGTTTTTTAAAGGCATTCCTAAAAACATTCAATTTCAATGCAGTGATCCTCCTGGGGAACAAAAAAGATCAAGGCATTATATTTTGATGGAACAATTCTGTATGTAGACTAACTACAGTTAGTTTATTTGAAGTGTGTCTGGTCCAGTACTAGTAGTCTTCTTGATTTTTGAATACCTCGTGCCCAGAATAATACCTGTCACATAGTACATGCTCAGAAAATACTGAGTGTTGAGTGAGTGAATAAGCTGGGACTCAGAAATGTACTCCGACTGATTGCAGCTTTAAGTTAGTTGCAGATACAAAGACATTTTTTGAACTTTTCTCGCACTCAGAAATCGGGCTGAGAGGGCAAAGACAAAGATGAGAAATGCTTTACTGATTAAAAGGATGGATGTTTTGGGGCGCGTGGGTGGCTCAGTGGGTTAAAGCCTCTGCCTTCAGCCCAGGTCATGATTTCAGGGTCCTGGGATCAAGCCCCGAGTTGGGCTCTCTGCTCAGCGGGGACCCTTCTTCCTCCTCTCTCTCTGCCTGCCTCTCTGCCTACTTGTGATCTCTGTCAAATAAATAAATAAAATCTTTAAAAAAAAAAAAAAGATGGATGTTTTGCAGTCAGCACCATTCACAAGAGCGTGGTATTTCCTGACAGGTTGTGTGTGTGTTTATTTATTTATTTATTTTAAGATTTTATTTGTCAGAGAGCGAGAGAGACCTAGAGAGAGAAAGAGCACACAAGCAGGGCGAGCGGCAGGCAGAGGGAGAAGCAGGCTCGCCACTGAGCAAGGAGCCCCATGTGGGACTCCATCCAAGGACCCTAGAATCATGACCTGAGCTGAAGGCAGATACTTAACTGACTGAGCCACTCGGGTTCCCCGAGATCCTTTTTTTTTTTTTTTTTTTTTCTTTTTAAAGATTTTATTTTTGAGTAATCTCTAAACCCAACATGGGGCTTGAACTTAGAACCCTGAGATCAAGAGTCCCACACTGTACTGACTGAGCCACCCTGGTACCCCAGTCAGTTTTAACTTTAGCACCTTTAATTAGTATGAAAATTGGATCTCTGAACAGATTGTAGAAAGGCTCTTTTCCCTTCTGTTTTGCATAACCTTGCCACCTTAAACAAAGAGACTTTTTTAAAGCATTATTAAAAGGAAAGGTGCTTTTATTCACACTTAAGAACAAAAGAATTCTTAATAAACTGGTGATTGGGTGAAGGCAAGGTTTATAATGGGATTTTCATACTCATCTTAACGGTACAAGGATCCCCGCCCCCCTTCGCCCTGTAAAAATAGATGGGATGTGGTAATTTATAATGAGGTAATTCTATAGTGGCATTTTACTGAATACCTCATCTCAGGAGAGATTTTTCCAGAAGCAGTGCTCAGAAAACAATTACACCTAACTTGTTGGATCTGTTCACTCTTCCTGTGGCATGAGTGTAATGTTTAGACTTAAAAGCCGGACACGTATCTTCCCTGAATAGTACTGAAAGATACTGGTGATTTACTCAGGCATCTAGAAATCTGTGAGATGCCAGAGGGAAAATCTGATCTATTAGAAGTGAATTGAGAAAGTGAATGACTTAATGATTGGGTAATAAATCCTTACCAAGTAAAAATAACTAAATAAAAGAAGGTCATGTTAATGTTCAGTTTTCTAGCTATAAGAATAACTAATATTTTATTATTAAACGTCAAATCACAGAAGCTGTGATTTCATAATGTTCTGCTTGCTAAAGAGCAGAATTCATACAGAGCAAGACCATTTCATACTCTAATATTAAGAGTGCCCAATGGGACACAGGAGGAACTGGTCTTACATCTTGGGCCCAGAAAAGCGTATCAAAACAGCGATTTTGTGGGTCTGAGTATTTGACAGCATCAGTTTAAGTGAGCGCAAGTATATTTACTGTGGGGTACATCTCAGGGTTCAGGCTAATGACTTGGAGGATCCTGGGAGACTGAAGCGTTCTCTCTTACGACCCCTAAGGGAGACAGTATGATTAATGCAATGGGAAAAGCATGGAATGTGGGTCAGGTTGATCTTACTCAAAGAGAAGAGGGAGGTTTTCATTTGGTTTTGGTTTTGGTTTTTCTCTTAACTGCATCTTACTTGTAAGCTGTATGACTTTGAGCAAATAACTTAAGCTCTCTGATCTTCAGTTTCCTTGTGGGTAAGATGGGAACAAGGCTCTAGAGAGGAATAAGTGAGCTTTCGCCTCACAGCACGGCCTTCATAAGAGCTGCCGTCTAGTGGCCCTCCCCCTCCTTCCTCGTTGTCCTCTCACCTCTAGCACACAGAAGAGCTGTCAGACTTCATATTAGCAACATGGGACTCTTTATTTGAAAACAAATACAGGGAAGAACTCTTCCCAATGAGTTTCTGAGAATGTGAGAAGGGAGCTTTAAGAACTTAGATACACCTGTAATTCAGTTGTTACCTTCGTGCACTTAGAATACAATAAGGGTATTGGCTTATGAATTTTGAACTCCAATTATTCTAAAATCTGTTATATCTATTACCTGTTTCCCTTACCTTTTTTCCCAGGAAATTCTGGAAGAGTTGGACTCATGCTATTGCCAGGTTTCATTTCAGATTCTAACTAATTCTATGTAAGACATTAACATTCTGACTTTTTAAAAGAGTCTCAAGCTGTTTAGAATATACAGTTCTGTGTTAATTCCTTCCTACTTTGGTGTCAGTGATTTCAAAAGGGCTGTTCATATAAGTTGAGACCAGTAGTTTAATTATATTTCTTTTGGGGGGGATTTTTACATTATATTCTGTTTAAAAAAACAATCATAAGACATTGATATTTGATAGTGGAATTCCGATGTTTTAAGCTAGGAGTTCAACCCTTGCAAACATTATTACAAAAATTATAATGAGATTTCATTTATTGCATTTTACTGTTATCCTATAACAAGAATATATTTAACTTAAAACTAACGGCCAGTGATTTTGAGAGTGTTATCTGTACTAATTTACAGTTTTTTAGCTTTTCCTGTTTTCAAAACTTCACATAAAGTTTTTCTGGGTTACTTGTTCTCCCAGAGGATGGAAAAAATTTCAGGGTTCAGTCTATGGGTTCATACGGCGCGTTAGTGCTAAGGGGTGTCCTGGGCCAGACTGTAGAAACCTGAAATGTTTCCATATAGCAGAGTTGTCAGGAAGACCGAAGAAGCATTTGCACTGGTCCCTCCCATTTCAGTTATTCTGGCAAAATTCCCAGGGTGGTCTCAAAACGGCTCCTGTCAGAGAAAGTACCATTCTGATTTCCAGGGAAAGCATGATGACACGTTAGCCTTAAATTTTCTTGTTGTAGAAAGTTTGGTTAGCAAGAAAAAATTATAAATGAAAGGCCATCTTTTTAAAGTGATTCATTGACCTATCCTTGGAAGAACCACGAGGAAATGGGGAGTGTTTAGTGGGAAGTGAAAAGACCCATTTGGTTAGGGACGGGACCCCTGGGACCCCTGCCGGACTCGCAGGCTGAGTGCAGACAGCCTTGGCAGGCCGCGTGTAGACAGCCTCTGGGTGGAGCCCTGCCTGGACACAGGCAGAGGGGTGAGGTAATGATTTCCTCTCTCCATTCTCTTCAGCCATGAAATTTGTTAAGAATGTTATCCCTGATGCACTGAGTTACCATCTTCATTGTTTCAAGTTCTCTGGTCATCCCTAATATTAATTTCCTAAAATACAGTTTCTCGGTTTCTATGGAAGAATGGTCCTGTCACTTATGACAGGGTACTTGTGATTCTGTTCTGGGCATATACGTTAATAAATTGATACCAGCTCCCGGCATGTAGCTTTTCCTTCTTTCCTCGTCATTTAAAGATAGAGCTAAAAATGAGAGAAGCATATTTCTTTTCCATAACGGTTGGACAAGACCTTTAGATCAGATCTCTAGTGGTTCAAACAAAACAAAACAAATCTCTTTATCTAGACTCTTGGCTTTTGCCTAAATATGATTTATAAAACTGTGAAGTGTTGCTAATCTTGAAACGATACCAGAGGGAGATGATTTTCCAACACCCTTAATACATTTGACTATAGAACATCACAGAACACTTACTCTTAAGTGTTTTGTGCTCTTTCTTGCAGAGGACTGTCAGCAAAATGGATAATTTAAAAGTAGAGTGGTCCAAACTCGAGGACAAGAGTTTCTTAATTCAAAAAAGTTGCTATTAGAAATGTTTCTTTTCTCCAAGGGAGGATATAGACTAAAGCATTTTACATGTGTGCTTGCTTTTCGTAACCTCTGTAAGTGCCAACTGAGGAAGGGAGTAGAATCCTTACAAATGCCTCTGTGGTTTGAAACCCAGGTCATCCCTAAAATTATTATCCTAAAATACAGTTTACCAGTTTCTATGGAAAATGGTCCTATCACTTTTATGACGGGGATTTTCTAAAGTTCTCGGAGCCCACCTGATCTCTCGCACAGCCCTGGGGTTGGGTGCGATTGTGCTGTGTCTGAGTCCTCCTTCCTATACTCTGTATATTTGAGATTTTGCTTTTATGCCCTAGGCATTGTTGAAGCGTACACATTCGATACCAAGCACCTTGATGTCCCATTCCGTTCTCCCAGACTCGGGTGGGCATGTAACTACCCACGGTACTTAACAGCCCAAAGTCACAGTTGGTGTTTGGAGGTAGAAGCACGCTTTTCACCCAGTCTCGACTGGAGTCAGTCAAGAGCCCCAGGGCAGTGCCGGGGATGGATCACCCCCCTGGAACCATGCCTGACAGCCGACATTCCTAGGTTGCAAAGAGAACATCACTTGGTCACTCGGTGCGCTGGCTTTTTAACTAGGAGCAATTGGTTGTAAATGACAGTACCCTGAAAGTCTTTTTTTTTTTCCCATAGGGAAGCTTGGAGGTGGTTCCCTCGGGGCACATTTTAATGGTCTCATTGCCGAGGACGATGTGAGTCTCCTCGCTGCCGCTCTGCGGATTCAGGTGGGTCTGACGCAGCTCTCTGAGGATTTCCCAGTTGAGAGCTTGGATGAATAGTTGCTCGCATTTTCCAAGTGTTTTCTGTTGAGCAGGCATAGTGGTAAGCACCTTACACACATAATGTCATTTAATTTCTTCCAGCAGCCCTGGAAGATAATGTCATTCCCATTTGGCAGATAAGGATAGGGGAGCTTAGGAAAATTTGCCTTTGGTGACATGACAGGTACGGGATGGGGACCCAAATCCGGGTCTGTGGTTAGTAATCTATTGCTGTGGAATAAATTATCTGCCAAATTTTGCAGCCTAGGACAATGAACATTTATAAACTCATGGTGTTTGTGGGTCAGAGATTTGGCAATGGCTCAGCTATATGGTTTTGGCTCAGGGTCTCTCATACAATTGAAACCAGGAGGTCAAAAGAAGGCTTGACTGTGGCCAGAGCCTCCCACTTCCAAGACTGCTCACTCACATGGCTGTTGGCAAGATGCCTTAGACCCTCACCATGCAGACTTCTGTGTAGAGCTGCTCGTGACGGGGCAGCCAACTTCCCCAGTAATGAGTGATCAAAGGAGAAGGCAAGGGGGAATCCGCAGTAGCTTTTATGACGTGGCTGTCAAAGCCACCCACCATCACTTCCCTGTTTCGTCTTTGCTAGAAGCGAGTCACCAATCTAGTTCACGTTCAGGGGAAAGGGAATTGGGCCCACCTTTCAAACACAGGAGTATTAAAGATTCTGTGGACTGCTTTTCAAACCACAACCATCTACATGACCCAAAGCCCAAGATCTCCAGCTCGCCATCATGCGAGCTCTGCATGGCAGTGACCTTGACTATCAGGAGGGAAACCAGAGCCTGTAGTTCCTGCCACAGTGGAATTAAGCAGAAGCAAGTTTTAGTTTCTTTCTTACATACATGGTGTATACAGTAAAACTTTTTATTTCCAGGGGCGGCCTGGCTGGCTCATTCGGTAGAACATGCGACTCTTGATCTCAGGGCCATGTGTTCAAGTCCCAGAATGGGCATGGCGCTCACTAAAAATAAGTAAATAAATAAACTGACACACACACCCTCTTTAAAAAATTTTTAAAAATAAAATGGGGCGCCTGGGTGGCTCAGTCGGTTAAGCCTCTGCCTTCGGCTCAGGTCATGATCTCAGGCTCCTGGGATCGAGCCCTGCATCAGGCTCTCTGCTCAGCAGGAAGCCTGCTCCTCCACCCCCGCCCCCCGCCTGCCTCTCTGCCTACGTGTATCTCTCTCTCTGTCAAATAAATAAAATCTTTAAAAATAAATAAATAAATAAATAAATAAAAATAAATAAGGCTTGTAACTTCCAAATGGAATATACTACCTTTCTGTAAGGACTGTGTGTTGCATTTCAACCTAAGCCAGATTTTAATTCCCTCTTTCTGTGTATCACCATTTAACAATTCAGTGCTCTTGTTCTATTACATTAACTGTAAAAGGGTTATACTCGAAACAGTGTCGCGGGGTCTGGAATTTGGGCATCTAAGCTGATCCTTCATGCATTCTCACGTTTCCCTCATTTTTCTATTCTGAGAGGAAGAACACACTCTCTAATTTTATCTGGTATTTGATGCCTTTAGTGAACACTTAACCTCTTTGAAAAGTACCTGTGTCTCACATTTTCCTTTTGAAGGCAAACCTCCCATGCTAATTACACGTGAGTAAAAGTATTGCCAATGCTCACTTGGGTTACTGTGGAGCTCTGTAACCTTCTCATGACGTAACATCCCGCGCAGTTTTTTCATAGTTCAGACCCATATCCCGTCAGCCTTTACTTGAGTAACGTGCTCTCCTTTCTGTCCCTTGAAGAACATGGTCAGCAGCGGACGGAGATGGCTACGTGAACAGCAGCACGCCAGGTGGAGACTTCACTGCTTGAAACTCCAGCCTCTCTCCCCCGTCCCAAGGTATCCGCTGGATTTGTCTATAGTGACACCACAGTGCCCCGGGTAGCCAAAGTGGCTCACGGGGTGGGGGCGCCCATCATGGTATTATGGCTCGGATGGTGGATAACCTTCGCTAGTCACATTGGTGCACTCTTTACGCTATTGATTAAGCCCTAACAATTAAATAGTAATGAGCTCGTGTCCCGTATTCAGTCAGTTCTAGGATGTGTATTCTTTCCCTTTCTGAAGTCAGGGTGTCCATTACTGTCGACGACGTGTCCTGTATTAAATGGCATTTTTCTTTCTTCTTAGTGCTGTCTAACATAATGCTGTCTTCTATTTCACAAAATACGGCAACGTGATGTTTGGAAAATGCTTCTCAGTATTAGAAATGCCCAACTCACCTGTCAGCTTGGTCTTCATGGTCGCGTAGGTGTCTGCACTGGGGGCCAATGACCGACCATACCAAACCCCATTCTACGTAGGAAGTGAGTTCCCCTTTCCTCAGCACATAGTAATATCTCCTCTCTGACGGGCCATTCTCTGACACTCCAGATGGATATTTTCTTCAGAGTAGCGTTTAATGAAGTGCGAGCTCTATATTCTCTGCCTGGATTTGGAAATACATGCTGCAGGAATAAGTCATTAGATAAGGTATCAGAGCTGGAGAAATGCATTTCCCAGCCTCATCGTGGGTGCCCCAGCTGCCCCCCAACCAGTGAATCGGCCCCACCCTCGCCATCCAGGCACGCACGAATGCCCTTGGAAAACGGTGCGCTGAAAACCCCATCGTCAGCAGATAAAGGCTCCAGGAACTGACGCGTTTTTCATTTGATAACCACTTGCTTTTTAGATTTGATCTCTTTTCTTGGGCCACAGCTGAACACTCGTGGTTCCATTCTACCCACCCGGCTGTTTTCACCCCTGAAAATAGATTGCACATCGTAGTCCCCGTCTGTGTTCATTAATATATAAATTCCAGGGAACGTTGTGTTTTATAATGTTATCCTCTTGTTGTGCAATCTGTTTCATCAAATATCTTCACTTTTTTTTAATTACTTGTGTTGTTATAGGACTTTAATTTTTTAAAGTAAATGAGTATGTTTTACTTTCAGAGAGCTAAAAAAAAAAAAAGAAATTTGAGGGGGACCCAGCCAAACTGTATACCAAAGCCTTCGCATAAATCTAAATAAATTCCACTTGGGGGAAGAAGTGTTTTAATTGCTGAACCAAATTTGACTTCTGGAGGTACGGTGGGGGGAGAAAGACAGGCTGAGTAGTTTATAAATTCCTCAAAAATCAAAACGATGTCACTGTCACTCTTTAGCTAGTGAGGAGAAAACTTTGGAGGTTTTCCAAGAGTCAGCGTCTCCATTTAGGAGATTTGGGGAGGAGAGAAAGAGAGAAAGGATGTAGACAGGAAGGCAATATGAAGTGGGAGCTTAGGCAAAGAAGGAAGGGGGGAGAACTGGAAGGGGAAATGCAGGTGGGGGGGAAGGAAGCACAGTGCTCAGCCCATGTGCCATCCGGGCAGACACACGCTCTCCCACTCCGAGCTGCTGTAGTGCCCTGCGGGGAATTCGGATTGGAAGTGGATGTAGTGTTACCTTGTGCCCCCCGGTCAGACTTCCATGGGGTCATGGAGAAAGACACAGAGCAGTGTGAGGGCTTTGAGTCGATTATCAGCAGAAGTGAGAGAAAGAAAAATCAGAGCAGGGGGCTGCCTGCCAGCGGACCCCAAAATAAGGGCTTCGGGGTGAGGCAGGCACTGCTGTGTCCCCAAGTGTCAACCCTAAGGACCGACCTAGTCCCTGAGGCCAGCTGTCCCAACTCTGTCTCGTGCCTGCCCCGTCTTCCTCTCAGCCAGGTGCTCAGTCTGGCAGATGGGGGCCCTGAACCCCCATTAAAACAAATAGCTGAGCTTAGGAGCCCCAAAAGACTCTCTGTGAAGTTCGGCACATGCCAATTTCTCCAGAAGCTAAACAGTGGCGCTCTCATCTTGCAAGGAAAGTAGAATCAACGATTTGCCCAGTGACACTCGGGTGTTCCTAAACTTTCCCGTATTTGAAGTTGAGCTTCGAGCACTAGGTCCTTTTACGGACGGTTATGCAATTATAAAATATTTTGAAATATGAACTTTGGATTCAATTTAGGAAAAAGAGAGGGAAAAGCATGGACCCAGATGAAACAAAATAGCATTTCCCCATTTCTGAATAGCCAAGAGACACATGGGGCCAGCCCAGGGAGAGCATTATGCAATGACCCATGTATTCACGGTTAGCAGAGATGGTGGCGACCCGCAGAGAGCACTGTACTCTACAGTGAATATAGCACTCGCCTGTAGTATGGGCGTGCTCTGTACCTGGGCAGAGTTCTGCCATCCTCATGAGTTTGAATTGCTTCCCTAAAGAAATGTACCTTTTTTTTAATGCACATCAATTATTAGCATTTGTGCCTACTGCTGCTTCGGAGAGAGGAACACAAAGCAATTGCCTTGATTGACTTGTTGGCATGACGTATGGCTGTTGTTACTCTAGCAGTGACCACCTAAGCTGAGGAGACTCTCACCTCTCGTGTGTTTTCCCCCGCAGTGATCTTGAGATTTCAAGAGCACAGACTCCAAAAGCCGTGGATGTCCTTGCCAAGGAGATAGGATTGCTTGCAGATGAAATTGAAGTCTATGGCAAAAGCAAAGCCAAAGTACGTTTGTCCCTGCTGGAAAGGTTAAAGGATCAAGCAGATGGAAAATACGTTTTAGTAGCTGGGTAAGAAACTACTTCTAAAATTTAATTGACAAAGAAGGCATGTTTATAAAACTCTCTCCCCTATTTCTGTCTGTCGTCACACCACTCACATCCGTCCTTTTCTCAGACTTGACATTTTTGTCCATTTCACTTGGCATTCCTTCATTTGACATGAGGTAAGTTTTCATTTTCAGTTTTTCATTTTCAGCAAAACAGATTAGTCTCCTCCACAAAACATAAAGTGTAACGAGTTCCTCATCCAGTATTTTATTTTATTTTTGTTTCTCATATTATGTTTTAATCACCCTTGTTCTGTCTTAGATTTTTCATTTAGTTTCTATGTGATAAAAATCAAAATAAGAACCAAAAATAAAATATTTTGAACTGAGCAGGGGGGGGTAGTTTGTGTTCTACTCAGAAATAACATCTTAATGGAAAATATACAGATAATTGTGTGAAACTTAACATTTTCCTGTTAATATCCTTAATATTTATTTATGTATTTGCATTATAAAAGTTCATCATTTCTCTTTTCTTACATTTTAAAATTAATGTTGGGCCATTTTCATTTGTGTTGGTCACTTTATAAATGATAAATGCAGGGTTTTTGTGAAAGGGAGTGTTTATTTTCCCTCTTTTTAAAAAAAGAAATATGTTCATGGGCTGAAAACTGATGGAAGACAAGGGATTTAAAATATTTTTTCAATGCGACCTGAGGGAACATGAGGAGACCATATGAATTCCTTTGTTGTCTTGAAATTTCATTGCAGTGACTTACTGATGATATATAGGCCAAGGCTTAAGGCCCCAAAACCTGTTTACAGAGAGACATCTCTGTAAACGACTGGACTTGACTCTTGGTTAACTTTATTTTTACGTATTTTATTATTAATGTAAACCCCTTGTTTCTTTTTCTGGTTTTAAAGTCACGCGTACTCATAAAGGTATTCCACAATGCAGAAAAGTGTCAACAAGAAAGTAAACATGCCAAATCCTCCCACCCCGAGGAAGGGGCTGGTAACCTTTGAGACCATCTTGACTCAGGGAGTCTCCTGTAAATGAGATCATCTTCCCCGCTTTGTTCCGTAGCAGCGAGATGAGTCAGCAGTGTGTCGTGTGCCCGGCTCCCTCCTCGAGGGTCAGTGTAGAGCTGGGCGGTCGTTCTGCATGACTGTGTATCATTCCAGTGCTCCCAGCCTAGATTCTGGGGGACAGGGAATAGGATGAAGGTGGATGCCATTTCACACGTCCTCCCAGCACCGGGAAGCCCCGGGTGGCCCAGTGGCCAGAAGTTCAGCATGCTTCTCATTCTTCAAGGATATTCAAGCCAAAAACTGATTTGAAAATACCATAAAGATGTGGCACAGTTTATTTAACCAACTCTCTGTTGGGCGCTCAAATTGCTTCCCGTGTTTGGCCACTATAAACGGTGCTAAAATCAACAGCCCTGCCTGTGCTCACTTCTACACTTGCCCAATGACCCTCTTAGGGAAAATCGCTAGAGGTTTTAAATTCAATATTTTAAAACTACAAATAAAGCCACAATCCATAATTTCGCCTCTAACGGCCAAATAATTTGTTCATATTTCTTTCCCTCCCCTTCTCCCTTCTCTTTCTCCAGCTCCTCTGCCCCTCTTTGGAAGGGCTCTCAGGGTCCCTTAGTGGCTGTGGTTTTAAGGAATTCATACCTTGCCTGTGGCTTAAACCTCCCTAAACTTCCAGGCTCACAATGTTGGACTCCCAGTCCTGCTGGGGTCCTTTCCAACCTAGGAGCCCACCCCTAATGTCTCTGTAGCTGAGCTGCAGGAAAGCTTCCTGCTGAGAGGAAATGGCCTCACCTACAAGCACCTCTGGGGCCAGATATGTGAACGGATCCAGCTGACTTGGGGAGTGGGTTGGGGGTCCCCTGGGTCCCAGGGTTTGGAGCACACATGGAGTCAGTGTTGCTTTTCTGGAACGTGCTTGATACAAGTTTATTTTCAGAAATAAGCTCTGGGACATTCAGAACTTCAAAAGTAAATTTAGTGTTTTATCCACAAATTTGCTTCCCGTTTTCCAGGCTCTAAGTGATTTTGGTAGATGGATTTGCTGGTTTTCTCCCCCTGTTTAATGTGGGAAGATCTAAGGAAAAGTCAGGAGGATGTACTCTCCACTTACCAAGGAAGAATCATCAGTAATTTTTCATATGGACTGGCTGTGATTTACTCTTTGGGGTGCTTGTTAGTACTAGAAATAAGAACACAGATCTGTATGTGACCCTGCCCTTAGCTGGGAACAGAGAAGTGATATTTCTAAAATAAAAGCTCGGACGGTATTGTTATCAGATTCCTACTGTCAAGGGCTGGCCACATGCTAGAGAGTGACAGTTAGCCTGGCTTTCCAGGATTAGGGCCGTGTGTGGTTCCATGCCCAGTAGGACATTGCTTCTCGCCTCACCCTGTCTCTTCGCCAGCATTTGTACATGCATCTGAGCTGAAGAAGCCGGTTGTCGTATCGTCCGTAGACATGAAACGAAACCTGAATTCTCAAGTATGGATTTAACCCCCAGAGCTAAACTGTTCTTTTTCTGAAATTGTGGTGTATGTTCCTTTTAAAACAAAGATCTATGAAGGAACAAAATTAAATTGTGTTCCTTTCAACTGCATTAAAAAAAAAAAAAAAAGCTACAAGGGTAGGATGTTGAGATGTACCTGTATCTGCAGGAAAGCCTGAAGGGTTTTAGACAGGATGTATCATCACACTGTGTAACCCACACAAACAACTAATGATCTATTTTTTAAGCGTGTTAGCTGCCTTTTTAATCTAACCTTTTAGTAGCTGCACATTTGATATCAGTTTAAAACACCAGGCAGTCATTTTATTTATCATCTAAAATGAAAAGTTCATTTGCAATAAAGACGACCTCCATAGTTTTACTTTTGGTCACATCAGTCACGGAAAGCGACAGTTGTCAAACCATTATACATGCTGTCCCTGCTTCAGAAATAGAAAGGACTCCTCTGTTAAATGGACAATTCTTCCCTTTTCCTGCAAGATCTTTTTTATATTCTGGAAATAATACTAGCTTACACTGTAGAAAATTTAACATAATGAAAAGCAAAAAGGAGAAAACGAAATCTCTCATGACTCAGAAGGGTTAGAAATTTTTATATTTCCTTCCAGAATTTTCTCTCTGTATCTGTCCTTTTTTTACACATTGAGATCATGCTGTAAATACCATTTTGTGTCCTGCTTTTACTCCTGAATACTGTAACATGACTCTTTCCCCAGGCTTTAGCAGAATTCGGATACTCCAGTAATTCCTCAGGAAACCTAAATAATATATTTGTGGTTGTCCTTTTGAACTTATGCATAAATGTGACTTAAACGTGTCAGCGGTAGAATTAAAATGTAAAACAATGGGGTTTTAAAAAATCTTCTGTCTATAGCCCCAGCGCAGCACAGATTAATTCGTTTTAAAAGCTGTTCTCCCAACCTCAGAATTTCTCATTCTGGCATAATCATCTGTGTTCCATCAGCTACACATCACGCCGTATTTATACCTATACATCACTGTATTGGCTTTGCCTGACAAAATGAAAAGTATTGGGAATTGTTCAGGGAAATAGGCCAAAAGAATCTTAGGGGCCCTTGAGTTTTACATATTTTCCCAGTTACACTAATGAAAAGGAATTTGTTGGAGAGCTCGCCTCAGAGTACAGCTGTCGGACCCTGAATGTGTGTGCGGGCTTGGCCTCCGCGGGCCCCTACCCGTCTCTCTGCAGAAGTTTCTCTGAGTTGCTCAGACAGAGCAGTTCCAAAAGAAGCCCAAATTTGTCTGTGAACAGACGATTTCACGTTAATGAATAATTAAAATCATTCACATCGCTTTCTTTCATGTGTAGAATGCCAGATACCTCATTTCATTTTTTTTTTCTTTGAATAGTCCAAACCATTCCTTTTGGTAAGTGTAAAAATAACCTTTACTGACTTTTTAAAGATTTTGCTTTTCTGCCTTGGGTAATTATTCGAGTATCTGTTGAGTTTTTTTGCTACATGCGCAACTAGAATGAAACAAAGGTATTTTAGAAGAGACCACCACTGACAGGGCCTTTGAATGGCTCCCATCAGTCAAGTGTGATGGGAAACACTTGTTGTCAGGCATAAAAGCCTTTAAAAACTTCACAGTCAGGAAGTTGCCTGGGGTGAGTGATACGTATTTTTAGGCTGCTTGAGTGTGTAATTTTTGAGCTCCTGGTTAGACCCGTGGCTCATGACAATAGTACTGTTCTAGATTCTTCGTTTTGAGACCTGTGCCCCATTTTACCACTACAGTCTGCATACGCAGTCTCTTTGACCCTGGAGTAAGTGGTAAACTTCTTGTTACTATGTGTCTAAACTCTCACAGAGTACTTCAATACATTGTCACTGTAGTCCACAGTAGACATACTTAGAAACATGTCTTGGAAAAGACATCCTTGCTTTGTCAAGAGTTTTTTTCCCAAGTGTGTCGGGACAGGTGACAGAAACACAATGAGAATGGCCATCATCCTTCACCTCAGCGAGCTTATGGGCTGGTGGGCAGGATGGCTGCATCAGGAAGCTCCTAACAATCCCCTCAGAAACGTTACATAATAAATACACAGTAAATGCCGTGGGGTAGAGAGAGGAGCAGATAAGCTACAGGGAGACCTTGAGGAAGAGAATGAACAGAAATCACAGTCCATAAACTCTGAGCTCTTACAGAAAAAAGAAATTCGGTGCTCATTGTTTTTCCGAGTCAGCTTGATAATTTGGAGTCAGAGTTAAGGACAGTGGGATAGCAATTAAATCCAGATCTAATATCAAGTGTAGGATTGAGGTAAAATAAAATTTTTATTGTAGCTCTCCTTTTATTGCTCCCAATAAATACTTCCTGCTTTTTGATTTTCCTGGATTGTATTAGTTGGCAGAAAGCTAAGCGGTCCTGTGTTTCTAATTAAGAATTTGGATGGTTTGCTGGAGTTTTGAAGAGGTCATCTCTGGGTGTGTCTGCCTTGGGATGTTAGCCCATCCTTGGGAATGGAAATGTAATTCTTCATGTGACACGCTCAAGTAAACCACCTCTTCCTTTGTAAACAGAAGATGCTCAGTCCAGTACTTAATCCGCCCTATCCTTGATTCCGCGTTTGTTTTTTTCAGGCTATCACAAGATTGTGATGCCTTTGGCTGACCAACTGCTTCTATTGTTGTTGTACCAAGAAAATAGAAAGTTGACTCAAAGAGTAAACACTTGTAACTGCGTCTTCATGGCGACCAAGTGTCATGTGGCTTGAGGGGTTTAAAGTTTACTTCACCAAGTGTGTTTGGCTTGGCGCCCCAGCTCGCTACCAGCGACCCTGTTGCTAGGGACGGTGATGGCTGCCAGGCCCTCACCTGGCGTCAGACATCTCTGCGTCTCTGTGGCATGTGATTCTGTGCAGACTTCCGTGGTTCCCTTCAGAGACCCTGTCACACCCCTGCCTCATCCTCAGGATTTCTCGCTTCTGCTCCTTCCAAGTTTCCTTTTGCTTTTTCTGACTATTCATTAAGAGAACGTGTTCTTGATGATTCCATCCTTATCCCTCTTTGTACTGTGGTTACTCTCACTGAGTGATCTTTCCTGTTCCCATGCTTGAAATTGTTAATTAATGGTTAACAGCAGTTAAAAAATTTCTATCCATAGAAGTAACCTGGAATTGTTTCCATTTCCATAGAAGTAACCTGGGGAAGTCTGGTAGCTTGCCTGGTTTTGATGTCCAGCTCTACTGCTTACTAATTGTGTGGCCCTGGGCAAATTATTGAACCTTCTCGTGCCTCAGTTTCCTCATCCATTAAATGAGGATAAAAAAGTACCCAATAAGTATAAAGCACAAAGCCTCACGTATTAACTACCCCAAACCCACACTCAATTTTATTTGGCTAATGTTTGGTTATAATGAGAGATGTCAGCTTTCTGTTTGATTATGAGAGATGTCAGCTCTCATCTTAGGTATTGCTTTCTCTCTGAAGCCTTCCCTGTGCTCCAGATCTCATCAGACCCTCCTGCCGTGTGCTCTCATAACACAGCCTCATTGCCAAGTTTCTGCCCTATGTGCTTATCATTTTATTGGACTAATTCTTCCCCAGTATTTGAGGGGCTGTTGGATGAGAAAGGATGGAGTTGAATATGTCTGACTCCGTGAGATAGGAGCCACAGGAATGCAGACATCTCTCCTTGGGACTATAAACACTATCTGGAAATGAATGGGCTACCATAGAGGTAGCACGCCTCCATCACTGTTTGTGTTGAAACACGGTAGAGACAAGCCCTGAACAGTAATGTCTAGAAGGAGATAGGTGAGTGGGACGACAGGATGCCTTCCAATCCTAGGAATCTGGCCGCAGATCACTGAGAAGGCCTTGTGCCCACATTGAACCCCCAGTAAATGGCCCCAGAAGAATGAGTGCCAGATCATCCATCAAAAAGAAATGAGGTTGTCTTAATTATTTAAACCACTTAATGGATAATGCTATGCCATTTCTTGAAGCTGAGAATGTTATCACTGGTGAATAACTTTTCTTTTTTGGTCTCTTGCTGGAGGTGTGTCTGTATCTTGGCTTTTGCGTAAGCATGGCCCGTGTCATGTGAATAGACTGTAAACGTCCTTGAAAGTTGAAACGCTTACGTGAATTTTCGGGTGACGTGTTCTCTTCCAAATGCTTCTGATTTGGTTCTGGTACTGTAGGTTGATTTTGCATAGGTTGTTCAGGAAGTATTATGAAATTCACTTTTTTTTCCCCCTCACACCAGGATCACACCCACCCCTCTCGGGGAAGGGAAAAGCACCGTGACAGTTGGGCTTGTACAGGCACTGACTGCACACCTGAACATCAACTCCTTTGCCTGCCTCAGGCAGCCTTCTCAAGGGCCAACTTTTGGAGTTAAAGGTACGTGATTTAACAACTGCTACATTTTTCAGGGCAAAATTTGAGGCAGAGAAGAGTTTTGAAAGAACGTCATCAACAGATAGGGAGTTAAGACCAGAGGAACTGGTACATTCCATCCCCACGTGCACCCCCCTCACACACTCAGTATGTGGTGGTCACCCCAAGATGCCCCCCACTGCAGAAGGGGGCTGCAGTGTGTGGGGAGGGGTTCAGCCACGCCCCCCGGGGAAGCCCATTTCCTGGTTCCCTGGAGCAGTCGCTGGGCCTGTGTTCACCACTCCAGCCTTGGGCGGAAGCCATCGAGCTCATCAGGACCTTCTTTGCCAAGCCGCTTTGCGATTCTGCCACTCGTATTGCCGTTTTATCATCCCTGCCACGGAGAAAGGCCTTTCCCTCTAAACAGTCAGAGAGCCTTTCAGCTGGGCCCGAGGGCTCATCCCGTCAAAGTTGTTGTCAGGCCGGCCGTGCTCTGGAAGCTGACCGGCCGTGGACAGAGCTGCGGGGAAATTTCTGTCTGGCTGTGCTGGGCCCACATCAGGCACGGGCACACTCCCTACTCCCTCTCCGCTGACTGGCCATGACGTCATTCTGCAGCTCACATTACAACAGCCTTTCCTGCTGCGATTACTATTGGTTCTTGGCACCAATGGTGGTTGTTCGCAGGATGATGTTTATGTTACCATCACAGCCGTTAATAAGTCCTGGCTCGTTAAGTACCGATAACTCATAGGATGTCAGACATGATGCAGCGGGACAAACACTAAACTCGGAGCAAGAAGGCTGTGGTTTTATCCGGGCCGTGTCACTTACCGCTGTGTGACGCTGTGTTTTCTGGTTGTCACCTCTCTGAGTCACATCTGTGATTATGCAAAGTGGCTGATAGTATCCGGCTCGCTGAGTTGCGAGGGCCAAATGAGATAGCGTATAAAAGACATGGTGCACTGTGAAATGATAGGACGCAGAAGGTACCACTCTTGCTTAAAGAAAACGAAATCTTTTTAATGTAGTAACTTTACTATTTTGAGCGATAATCAGCACACCAGACCTTACATATGATTATCTAAAATCCCTTGACTGAATTTTACCATGTGTTAGTCTGAGTTCACCAGATGGGTTTTTTTGAACCAAGTTTTTTGATACTTCAAGCATGTGCAATTTAGATAACACAGCTGCCTAGATCTAAGAATAAATGAATAAAATAATCTCGTGTTGGCTGTAATGACCTTTGCTATATTATTTTTACCTTTTTTTTTTTTTTTAAACCAAGACACTGAAGGCCTTCCATTGCACAGTTAGACAGAGTTGGGACTTTTCCCCCTTTTTGTTCTGCTTTGAGAGGCAGTTAATGTTTTTTACCACCTGTTATTTCATCTTGGGGGTGCCGGCCTTCCTGCTGGGTTGGGGGAGCTGTGACCCTAGGACCCTGATCATCCTGCATGGCCTTAATTGGTGATGGATTTCAAACAATGCCTTCTCTGTCCTACAGGGGGCGCTGCAGGTGGAGGATATGCCCAGGTCATCCCCATGGAAGAGGTAAGATCTCCGCGGAAAAACGTGTCATGTGTCACTGTTTTTCCTTCCTGGAACTTTTTGCTGGGCCCCATAAGCCCAGGCCCAGTCCTTGATCCTCAATCCCAGAATCCTAAAGGCTCTGCAGACCAAAACCCTTTGCGTGACATACAGTGGCAAAACCTGACATTGACTCTTCTGAGCCATTCGTGTCTATGGGATTTGCTGTAAATATTCATATATTTTGCAGCAGCTTTGATTCACGGATACAGACCTAAACCCTGCTTGGGGTGTATTATTAAAAAACTAGAGGTATATCACACTGTTTCTAAATGACCAAAAATTCCGAATTCCAAACTCCACATGGCTTCAAGGCTTCTGGAGAAGACAGTGGAGACCTAGCTCCCCATTAGTCGTCAGCTATACGTCCCAGTCAGGAGGACTTGGACTCCTCCCTTGGGCAAAGTGATACTCCAAAATAGTTCCAAAGAGGGGCACCTGGGTGGCTCAGATGGGTAGCCTCTGCCTTCAGCTCAGGTTATGATCCTGGGGTCCTGGGATCGAGTCCAGCATTGGGCTCCCTGCTCAGTGGGGAGTCTACTTCTCCCTCTCCCTCTGCCTGCTTCTCCCTCTGCTCATGCTCTCTCTGTTAAATGAATATATTTTTAAAAAATCTTTACTAAAAAAAAAAAAATAATTCCTAAGAAAAATGGGCAAAAAAAGCCAAAGGTGTCCATTCTTATTTCTGCAAGAACTCCTACCCCCACATCACCACCCGCTTGTCCCCTGCATCTGACCGTCTGAGCAGGCCTCCTCACTTCTCTCTGCATCAGCCTCTTACTTCTGGTCCCAAGAAATCTTTCCAAAACCCAAGTCTGAGCCGGTTGCTTCCCTGTTCAGTGCATCTCAGTGGCGACCCCCTCACCATCCATGTCGGGTAGCATGGCAGGTCCTCGTGTGCCCCAGCCTCCCTGCCTCAGGTCCCCACGGACACCCGCCCTTTCCCCACCTCATCAGACTCCCTGCCAACTCCTGGCCTCTCATCTCTTGATTCCAAGCCTGGAGCGTTCTTCCCTTCCTGTTGTGCCCTCCGTGCCTCAGCCTGTCCTTCTCTAGCTTTTGTTCCACCCCCCGGATCCCCTCAGATTCTGTTTCTCTCATCCGGATTGGTAGCCCGGGGTGCGTTAGAGGCCAGAGACCCGGCACGCAGCCCGGCGCCCAGCACACAACAGAGGCTCACTGGGAAATGTGTGTTGGTTCCATTGGATGAATAGGAAAGGTGTTTACCTATGACGGCCTGAGTGTCAGGGAAGCTACGAGGGCAATCTGGACACTTTTTGAGTATTGGGGGTGGGGTGAGAGAGAATAGTGCAGGGCATTGCTGAAAAGATAGCCCCAAGCCTCCCATCTGAACGGGGATGAGTAATATTCACAAGCCAGGAAGAACCAGAGCCAGGAAGCCAGGTTGGGGATCTGGAGTACAAGGAACATGCCCAGGGGAATGGCTCGGGGATTTCTGCGCAAATATTCAAAAGGCATTGGTGTCCTGCTGTCACATGGCATCAGCTGCATGGCTCAGACTTGGGGCAGACTTAAGGCATATGATAGTTGTAACTGCCTTGTGATCATTAGGTGAGCCAGAAACAATCAGGCAGCTTGTTCCTTGAATTCAAAGACCTCTGGTATCTTGTTCATCTCTCTGTCTCCCCGGCTCTGAGCACAATGCCCAGCACTTAGATCATGTTTGTTGACCGAGTGCATGAATAGACAGTGTACCGAAAGAACCTTAATAAACAGTCATGGGGATATGTTTGAATAAATTCCAGATGGGTTGAGGAATTAAAAGTGAAAATACTGGGACTGGAAGGGTGAGAAGGAGCCAGGATTGTGAGGCTGGGGGAAGTATCCCAGGCAGTGGGACCTGCTCAGAGGACAGCACTGAGGCAGTAGGCATTGGTTCTCTTTAGCGAACAAGAGGGCACCAATTTGTGTCTGTGGGCCAGCAGGGGTGGAGGGAGTAAGGTATAAAAACGGGCGGGGGCCAGCTCTTTCAGGCTATGAAGTTCATGACCAAGAGCCTGGATATTATTGGAATATCATTGTCCGCCATTGAAGGAATCTTGACAAAGTAATAATATGATATAAATTGAGTTTTTTAAGAATCCTCCTGGCTTCTGTACAGAGAATAGACTGCCAGGAGTCCAGAGTGGATGCTAGGAGTCTAGAAGGAGAACCAGAGGAAAGATGGTGGTGTGGTCCAAGGTGGTGGCATTGAGGATGGAGAAAGGTTGTCAGTGACGGAAGACATGTTTCCTCGGTTTTCAGAATTAGATGAGGGGCATGAGGAGGGGGAAGACATCCAGGTTAGCGAGCTGAGCAACCCCATAGTCATTTTAACGGAGGATGGAGGGAGGGGTACCTGTGTGGCTCAGTCCGTTAAGTGTCCAGTTCTTAATCTTGGCTCAGGTCTTGATCTCAGGGTCATGAGTTCAAGCTCCATGCTTTGTGTGGAGCTTACTTAAAAAAAAAAAAAAAAAAGGATCAGAAATGGAGGATGGGGGGCCGGGGTAATGGCCATGTGGCTAAAGCTGTGGGGGCAAAGGGGTTGTGGTCAGAAGAAGAGAGACCTGTTTGGGGCCAGTGGACACCCCAACGGATATCAAATAGGCAAAAGGAAAGAAAAACAGGCCAGTTTTCATTTTAACATGGGGAAAGGATTCAATAGAAACGTCAGAAAAAGGGGGCACCTGGGTGGCTCAGAGGGCTAAGCCTCTGCCTTCGGCTCAGGTCATGATCCCAGAGTCCTGGGATCGAGCCCCACATCGGGCTCTCTGCTCAGCAGGGAGCCTGCTTCCCCTCTCTTTCTCTGCCTGCCTCTCTGCCTACTTGTGATCTCTGTCTGTCAAATAAATAAATAAAATCTTTAAAAAAAAAAAAAAAGAAACATCAGAAAAGGTTAACGAACCAGTCGTTGTTTGTTTTCAGTGATAATCAAATTAATCTACATTAAAACTACTAGCAGTTATTTGACTTACCAAATTGGCAGAGTTGGATTTTTTTTTAATAATAATAGTACTAAATATTAGCAGTGAGAGATAGACATATACTGCTGGGAGGCATATGTTGGTAAAATTTTCCTGGAGGGCAAGTTAAAAAAAAGTATCAAGTGCCTTTAAAACAGTATCATAGCTTCTGGCCTAGTTTATCCTAAGCAAAAACTGGCTGTGTATGCAAAGATATAATTTTAAACTATTTTCCCATGAGACAGTCTTAAATGTCTTCTAATAGGATAGCACACTAACTGTATTTTGAAGACTATTTAATGATGTAAAAATGCTAGTAATATTAACACTGAGTATAAAAGGTAAAGTGGGGGCGCCTGGGTGGCTCAGTGGGTTAAGCCTCTGCCTTCGGCACAGGTCATGCTCCCAGGGTGCTGGGATCGAGCCCCGCATCGGGCTCTCTGCTCAGCAGGGAGCCTGCTTCCTCCTCTCTCTCTCTGCCTGCCTCTCTGCCTACTTGTGATCTCTGTCTGTCAAATAAATAAATAAAATCTTAAAAAAAAAATAAGATAAATAAAAGCTAAGGTGTAGGGGAGCCTGACTGGCTAAGTCTGTTGAGTGTCTGACTCTTGATTTCAGTTCAGGTTTTGATCTCTTGGTTACTAGTTTGAGCCCTGTCTTGGGCTCTGCACTAAGTATGGAACCTACTTTAAAAAAAAAAAAAAAAAAAAAAAAACAAGGTGTAAACTATTTTGGTGTTATGATCTTGATATTAGAAGTTATGAATTTTATAAAATATACATATGTAATTTTTCATATTTTCTACTTATCATATACTTTATATTATAAAATGAGGTTTTTACTGATCAGCTGGTGTTTTGGGCGTGGCACTTCAATTCTTTCAGAAAGCAGTTTTGATGGTATTATCAAGATTTTTAATCCAGAAACCACACTGCTGGAAATATATGGCTTATTAGCAACTAATTAAAAAAATTATTTGCATGTATTCTTTTTAATTGTAGTCTTCTTTGCAAAAGTGAAAATTGGGTTGCAATTTAAATATCTAGACATAAGAAACTGAAAACTTTTGGAACATCTATTCCATTATACAGACTCTGTGAACTGTAACTACATATAAACAAGATAGTTACATTAAAACACATAGAGTAATAAGTTCCTTAAATGAAAATTTACCAAATGTGTTATAAGTATGCCCAGTCTACAAATAATAAACATGCATGCACTTAAGACCAGAATGAAAATAACAGAATAGAGTCTTGAGGGTGATAACATTTTTTTTACTTCTCAGGCTTTCTGTCATATATTATTCTTTTCTTACTGTTTATTTTATTCTCTGCCTCATTTTAAAGTATATTCGATGTGACACTATTTTCTAAATCACGAAAACAAGGAAACTGATTATTAAGGCCATCAGAATGTCTCACCCTTAACCCAAGAACAAAAGATGAAAGACTTTGTGGTGACCCAGTCGGCTTAAGAGTTCTTTGTTGTCAAGTGGAAAACTCTGACATTGATTTTTTGATTTAGGCTGTTTTGTGGACTTAGCTCATGATAAGGCTATGTGTAATTAGTGCAATAGTTTATTTATTCAGAAAGCCCTGGAACACTGCCGTGCTTGCCTGAGACCAGTAGAAAGACGTTTCCATGTCATTTACAGTTCAACCTTCACTTGACCGGGGACATCCACGCCATCACTGCTGCCAATAACCTCCTGGCCGCCGCTATTGACACGAGGATTTTTCATGAAAACACTCAAACCAATAAGGTGAGAAAGTTTCTTTGCTGGCCCTTTTGGGCATCTTATCCTGGGATTTCCAGATTCTTAAGGAGTTCGTGAGAAAACTTTGAAGTCTGTAAACTGTTTGAAATTATATAAAACATTTTGTGAACTCTACTTGTCCTTATTTCTTGGGGAGAAGATCCATGCTTTGGTCTGCTTCTCAAATGAGTTTATGACCCCTGCTGTGTTGTTGGGTGAATTATGTTAGTTGTATGTTGAAACAGGACTTTCAGTTTTAAAGGCAGTTGGTAGACCAGTTCTCTTCATTCTGTTCAAAGGTCCAGTCCCTGGTCTGTACTAAGAGGATTAGAAAGTTATCTTTTTTTTTTTTTTTTTTTTTTAAGATTTTATTTATTTTTCAGAGAGGGAGAGAGAGCGAGCGAGCACAGGCAGACAGAATGGCAGGCAGAGGCAGAGGGAGAAGCAGGCTCCCCGCTGAGCAAGGAGCCCGATGTGGGACTCGATCCCAGGACGCTGGGATCATGACCTGAGCCGAAGGCAGCTGCTTAACCAACTGAGCCACCCAGGCGTCCCAGAAAGTTATCTTTTATACTGTCATGTTACATGTAGCCATTCTAGATGTGATTTGAAAGGGATTAGACCCCCTTGTTGGGCTTCAGGTGCACACAGCTGATGTAAACAAACACCTGATGGGGATAGAGTACCAGGTGCTAATTGTTCATAGACAGAGGACATGGACAAAAGTGGGACTTTCTGGCATATTTACAAGGGTCTTGACTTCCTCCAATGAAAGTAATCCCTTGTGAGTTTTGGAAGCCCAATATAGATAAATATTAATTTGATGGTTGTGAGGCTATGTAGATAAAGAAATATTTATATTTATGCAAAGTCTTTGCAATGTGCCTTATTTCAGATCTAGTCAGATTTATTAAAACGATAGAACTTAAGGCTGCATGGTTTATATTAGCCAAGAATTTTAATAGGGTCTCTAATCTAAATAATTTGGTTATAAATGTAATGAACTTTGTCATATCCTGTGAATTATCCAAGTTCATAGTTGGCTCTTAAGCTTTTGTGGGGTTTTATTTTTGTTTTGTGTTTTTAGGCGCTGTATAATCGACTCGTTCCTTCGGTGAATGGTGTTCGAGGGTTTTCAAGCATTCAGCTTGCTCGGCTGAAAGTAAGTTTGCACTTCCTGGCTCTTCCACAAGAAAATAATCCTGGAGACAAATCAGAAAGATGATCAAAACCAGCAATTTTGAACTTGATTTGATCTTGGTTTTCAGACACCCTTTGAGGTGTTAAAGTCTAGAGACAGACCAACGTAACAGAGAGAAGAGAACCAGAAACCTCAGACCTGATTATATTAAAGAGCTGGTGGACAGACTAGTTCCCCTTTTGAGGTCTCCGTTCCTTCCATAAACTGAGAGGACTGCTTTGCAGACCCAGCGTACCTAGTCCACTGACAGATCAAATTTCTGAGAGCCCTTCTCTTTCATGAATTTTCTTCAATTTCTAGGAAATAAGATACATTTTCCCTGAAAATGTATCTGTGTCAGGTTTTATGCAGGAAGATGCTAAGGTCATACTAGTAAAAGCAATCTTAATTCTCACCCATATTATCATTTCCTAGTTCTGTTTGCTGCTGTCCTACTCATCACAGTGATTCCCCCTTGCTCTTTTCAGAAACTGAAAACTAACTTTAATGGTAAAACTGGCAGCCACTGATGGGTGATCATTGATTTTAAAAACTCACCACCCTGCTTCCGAACCAAGTTTAGTTTGTTGAGACCATGTGCGCTGGACTAACCTCAGCAGCCACAACATGGGGGTCATTCCTGTTGGCATTCATGCTTTCACATTATTTTCTTATGCTTCATTAGGAGCTTTCAGAAAATGTTTCCTTTACAGAAATGGATGCACTCAGAGTTTTAATGACATTTTTTTCACAGTGTACTAGAGATAACTTGTTTTTTTAAAAAACGGGCATCACCTTGACTTGAGTTATTGGTATTGGTGTTTGAAAGAAGAGCTAATGAACCAGAACGTCAGTTATGTGGACAGCAGCCGATGTCCCTTCTGAGTGGAGGACACGTGGCCACATCGCCCAGTCCTGATAGTCTTGGGCCCGGACAGCAGCAAGTCGTGTTCTCTGTCCTAGCAGCCACGCCTGATTTCAGTGTCATTTAGGGTGTATTACAAATATCCATGTCTTGCATTTCAGGGATATGTGGGTAGGAATTGGCCTCACCCACAATTTATTGTAAGTTCAGTGTAGTTTCTGGTTTTTTTGTTTTGTTTTTATTTCAGTGTAGTTCTAAAAAGACTTCCGAGTCATGGAGGAAATAAAATAACAGGGATCATTTGGGGTACATTTTGCTTTCTCTTCCTTGCTAAAATCGATCACATTTTTCCCCCTTCATCATTAGAAACTGGGAATAAATAAGACAGATCCCAACGCTCTGACGGAAGAGGAAATCGGGAAATTCTCCCGTCTCAACATCGACCCCTCCACCGTCACGTGGCAGAGAGGTAGGCGCTGCCTGTGGGCTCGGGGGTGACAGTTGTCCAGTTGCAGCGCTGAAATCGCTTTCCCCAAGCACCCGGTCTCACGTCTTCCCCTCGCCCTCCCAGTGTGGGATCCAGACTCCCTCTGTGGGCTTCAAGAACAAGTCATCTCCCCTGTTCGCTCACCCTCGCATCCTACGTAGGAGGAAGAGTCACTCCCCCTCTGGAGCCTGCTGCTCCTCCCGGGCTCTCTCCCATTCACTCCCCCGACACACGTCCAGGGAGCGCTACTCCCTTTTCTTCTCCCTGGGTAGTAGCGCCTGAAGCTCAGAGGGTCTTGGAAGGGTCAGGAGGTCTGGATGCCTGACCCTTCTGTGCGTTCTCCTCAGACCTGCCCCCTCGCTTTCCTCCTTCCTCCCCACTTCCAGAACTTCTTTTATCAGATGCCTGCTTGATTGCTGTGTCCTTGTAGTAGATGTTCTTATGAGCACACGCCCATCTTGCAGGTCGGCAGCTTCAGAACATAGAGATGTTCTTCTGTCACCCCTTTGCTCAGAAGCCCGCAGTGTGTGTGATAAAATCCCGTGTGGGGCACAGAGGCGGCCAGGAAGCTTGTCCTGAAGCATCCCCGTGATGTGGCCCCAAGGGGCTTTTTCCTCTATGTCTGCTTTCCAGATAGCTGGGCCGAACCTTGTCCTTCTGCCCGTCTGCCCCCCCGTCCCCACGCCGTCCCCTTGCCTAGACCCTCCTGGACACAGCCCGTATCCCCCCTGTCACGAAGGGGACACAAAGCTTTCCTTCTGAGAATCTGTTCAACCAGTGCGTGAAGAGCCTAGTGTTTTCCTGTAAACCAGGAAATGGAGAGACAAAGACCAGAGGCTGAGTCTTGGCTCCACCGGGTAGGAGCTGTGCAGCTATAAACAAGCGACTGTCTCCGTTTTCTCATCCGTAAAATGGAACAGTAGTTAGCCAAGTCTGCCTGGCTTGGTTCTGCTGCCACAAGAGAGTGCTTTGCAAACTCAACGGCACTGCCCAAGCCATCAGCAGACGCCATCATGGGAGCCGTAGCAGGAGTGTTCTGAGCATTTGTCTCCCATGCTGAGGGAGAGGAACGCCATTTTGGAAACTCAAAAAAATATAGAGTTTTTTTTTGTCTACATTTTATAGATTTTTATATAAAATCTATATATGTAGAATCTATAAAAATTTATAACTTTTTATCTCTTTTTTTTTAAAGATTTTATTTATTTATTTGACAGAGAGAGATCACAAGCAGGCAGAGAGGCAGGCAGAGAGACAGGAGGAAGCAGGCTCCCTGCTGAGCAGAGAGCCCGATTATAACTTTTTAAATAAAACCTACAGGTCTATAGATTTTGGATCCTGCCAGCTTCGTGTATGTTACAAGTAGCACGTTCCATTTCATTGGCTCTTTATTGTGGTGGAAACTTTACATGGATCTAGAATATTCCTTTGTGAATGAACCACAATTTATTATTTAATAGAGAAACGACAGTTGTAATAATGGGTATGAACGTCATCAGCATTTTATTGGGAAGCCTGCTGACTTTTTTTAATAACGGAAGTGACAGCTTTTCAAAAGCTATTCCAGATAAACACGAGAATTATGTGATTGTTTAATGGTATTAAAATAAAGAAAATATTATGGGTGTCAACAAGCAACCTGGATTGGAAGAGTTTAGAATGACATTTGCTAGGTAGTTTGGCTCTGACTCCCATGAATTAATATAAAAAATGGAACTCTTTACCAAGTGAATTGAGGACATTTAATGTAGAGTCTTTTTTTTTTTTTTTAAGGCAATATGAGGTTTGACCTAGAAATAGCGTAATCCTCATGATGAGATTAGGTCCTTATATGACTTGGGGGACACTCATGGATGGTGTGGGGCTGAACACCTCGCCTCGGACTATACGAATGGCATGGATTTATGGAAGGACCAGCCTTTCCTTTCTGCCTTTGGAAGAAATGTAACTGATATTTCTTTCACCCTGTGTCTCCTCTCAGAAGCTTATGGGCCTCATTGCCTGGCAATAACATGGGTCCAGAGCCAATAGACTATTCCAGAAACAACATAAAAAGAAGGAACAAATAGGGACGCCCAGGTGGCTCAATGGGTTAAGCATCTCCCTTTGGCTCAGGTCATGATCTTAGGGTCCTGAGATCGAGTCCCGCATTGGGCTCCTTGCTCAGTGGGGAGCCTGCTTCTCCCCCTGCTTGTGCTCACTTGCTCTCTGTCTCTCTCTTTCCTTCTCTGGCAAATAAATAAAATCTTAAAAAAGAAGAAGAAGGAGGAGGAGGAGGAGGAACAGTAGCCACCAAGCCATTTTGTAGCTCCCAGAGGAGCAAGAGCCCCTGCCTCTCTGAGCACCGCCCCTCCCATGTAGGGGGGCTACAGTCTTCTCTTCTCTCCTGTCTCGTTGGTTCATCCACCTCCAGGCCATTAGACAGAGGTCCCACAGGCCTCAGTCACCCTCAGTGAAGTGACATCAGTTCTTGGTTCCCAGCACAGCCCCCCGAGCTAGGCTTGCAGGGAATCATGACAGTTCTACCCCCAAAACGAAAACAGTGGCCATGCCCTCCCTGACCAAGTGCCTTGACCCGCCCAGCACCCCAACCGCTGTCGTTCAGGAAACCACTCCGCTCGCCGTGGGTGTTCCTCAGAACACAGGCAGCACGGTAGTGCCTGAGGCCCCCGCAGACCCACACTCACCTGCACCTTCCATCTCTCCTGTGCGAGTCCGAGCTTCCGATCTGAGATTGACATCTGGTTCGTCTTTGCGTCCCTGGCCTGCTCGCGTGGGACCTGGTACAAAACTCGCCCTCAGTGACTCTTCTGGAGTGAACACGTGCGTTCCGCCGTCCAGCTTTAGCTCTAACATTGAGAGGCCGGAATGAAGCATCACTAACTTACGGTTCCTTCCTGGTATCTACCTTGTGTGTAGGAATTTAATTTTCCCATCTCTTCCGTGGCCTTGACACACCCACACGTCTCCCCACCAAGCATCCAAAACCTGCTGGGGGGGGGCGCCTGGGTGGCTCAGTGGGTTGAGGCCTCTGCCTTCGGCTCAGGTCATGATCCCAGGGTTCTGGGATCGAGCTCCGCGTCGGGCTCTCTGCTCGGCAGGGAGCCTGCTTCCCTCCCCCCTTCTCTCTCTGCCTGCCTCTCTGCCTACTTGTGATCTCTGTCTATCAAATGAATAAATAAAATCTTTAAAAAAAAAAACAAAACCTGCTGGGATCCCGTAACACACGCAGCCTTCCACTGGCCCTGCTTCGAGCGGATCCTGCCAGACTTTTTTATTTTTTTCTTTTTGGTTTGTTTGTGTTCTCTCTGCTCAGTAACAGCAGCTGAATTTCCAACGCAAACATCATACCCGTCTTATGCCAGGATTGCGTATCCCGCACATCAGAGTGGGAAGTGTTTTTACCGTGACTGTGCCACAGGTCTTGGCAATAAGTACTAGCTAGTGGAAGTTTCCCAAAAAGCGTTTCTTGCTCTGTGTAGACTCTGGCTGGACCTTCAAATCATCCAGGCCTGTATGTGTTTGACGTGTGAAGTTTGAGTGTGCGCGTGAGTGTGTTTGTGTATCTGAGTGTGTACATGAATGTGAGAGAGAGGGCGTGTCGCATGGAGAGTGGCACCGGCTGAGTCAGGGAACAGTGGGAGGGCAAGGTGGGCAGGCCGGCGGAGGCCTCGTGTGGGAAGGAAAAACTTGACATTTCTCAACCTAAGATGCTCTCAGTCCCCAAATACAGAATTCTCACCATCAGTTTTGTCAGGGCCATATAATGCGTCGTCACGGCGGATAGCTTGTTCTTGGAAGCCACATGAATTATTAGTGAAGCCCGCATCCTTCTCGCTGATTTCTTGCCATTGTCATTCCGGTTTGCACTCAACAGACCTAGTTTCCACAAACAAATGCAAGTCAGCGCCGTTCAGACAAACCAGCGAAAGCCATACAAATTGGTACCTGCTTTAATCACAGCTGACTTCTTCCCTCCCTCCCCACCTTACTGCTTTATTGTATTGGGGTAAAATAATACATATCATGAGATTTTAACCATTTATGAGTGTTAAGATCTGTGTTAAATACGTTCACTAGGCTTCTAGGGGTTATGCCATCCCCACACTCTATACCTGGAACCTTCCATCATCCCCAAGAAAAACTATGTACCCATTGAACAATAACTCCCCATCTCCCCAGCCCCCCACAACCACTGTTCCACGTTCTCACTCTGTGAGTTTGGTAGTTCACGTCAGTGGGATCATACAACGTTAGTCCTCTCTCTCCGGCTGATTTCACGACACATAGCATTCCCATGTCTGTCCGTGTGGTTGTTTGTTCCCTTGGTTTGGGCTGTGTGATCGTCTGCAGACCACATTTTCTTCATCCATTCACCTGTTGATGGACACTTGGCTCTTCCACCTTTGGGTGTCGGGAAGGATGCCGCAGTGAATGTGAATGCTCGGAGACGTGTTCGAGCCCCTGCTCTGGGTTCTGCCGGCTGTATACCTAGGACCGTCGTGGCTGCGTCCTGCGGTGGTTCAGCGTTGAACGCTTTCAGAACCAAAATTGGCTTCTTCTTGTGACTCGGGTTCAGGGTAAAATGTGACCACATCGGAAATGGTTTTCGTTTACTACCTAGTAAAACACGGCACCCCGCCTTCGCCCCCACCCCGACACACCCTATCATATCACCGCCTTCGTCTTGCTACGGCACTCAGTGCCACCTGATGTTTTCAATCTGGCTCTATGTCTGTTCCCTGGGATGTCAGGGGCAGCATAGCCAGACCTGCCTCTTGCCCCCCACGGCCTCCTTGGCCCTCACGACAGTTCCAGGTGCACGGGGTAGCTGGTCTGTACCTGTGGATTGAAGAAGCTTTATCTCTTTTTCAGTATTGGATACAAATGACCGATTTCTACGAAAAATAACGATTGGGCAGGCCCCCACCGAGAAGGGCTATTCCCGGCAGGTACGTGACCTTTCTGTGTGGGCGTGGCTCCATTCTTGCTAGTGATGGTTTGCACCAAATCTGATGTGGGTTCTCTGCTTCTCTTCTTTCGGTCATCCACCTACAGTGGCCAGTATGTTTCTCATCATGTCAAGGTGTTGCTCCCATCCCTCAGCAGGACTGGGAGGGGTGCAGGAGGCAAAACGGCCCCTGTATTTTCTTACTATCCTTTTCCTGGGTGACTTCAGTTGTAGTTCTGGGAAGAACCACTCAGGGTGTCTTTTGAATATAAATTTTTACATATTTTATTATAAATCCATCAAGTTCATTCTACCTCTGCTAACAACTGAAAAAAGAAAATCTCAAACACATTACTCAAGTTTCATAAACCAAAGAGTAAACACCTCGTTATTTAGTAGCCTGAAATGTTTTGAAGAATAATGTCCTATTACCCAAAAGCAGAAACTGCAGAAGGTAAGTTACGATGTTTACTTCCATTTCATGTAGAGACATGCTTAGGGAGCATAAAATCACTCTGTGATTTTTCAGTCAGGTACAGCACGCCTCTAGATTTTTTTCCCCTTAGATTTTATTTATTTATTTATTTGATGGAGAGGGGTGGGGCACATGCAGGGGGAGCAGCAGAGGGAGAGAAAGAAGCAGATTCCCTACTGAGCAAGAACCCCAACATGGGGCTCGATCGAAGGACCCTGGGATCATGACCTGAGCCGAAGGCAGATGCTTAACAACTGAGCCACCAGGTGCTGCACGGGGAGAGTGTGATACTCACACCAACGCTAAGGGTAAAGCAGATTGCGAAGAGTTGCCACAGACAAAAACGTCCTGACTGATCACGCAGGAGTGAGCCCCGGGCTGGCCTCGGGTTTCTCACCGATGGCGCCAGTGGCCAGTGGCCCTGGGAAATGGATCCCGACTTCGGAAGGGAAAGGAGTTTGCATCTTAGAATCCTCGAGGAGAAGGAGGGCTGCAGCAGCCGTCAGGCCCGCTGAGCAGAGAAGGCAGAGGCCACAGCTGGGCCGGGTCGGACCCGGCAGGGCTTGCTGTCCGTGTCAGCGGTCATGGACGTGACATCCAGAAACGTGAAAGAAGAGATCGTTTTGATGTCATAAAAAGTTAAGATTTTGAACATGGAAAGCTGACATGTACAAAAACATCAAAAGACCAGTAACAGAGCAGGAGGGAATGTTTGCATTAGCTGTAACGAAGGAGTCGGGCACCAGACGGAAGCGCTCCCTCGTTGTGATCCTGGCATGCTGCTCTCAGTGCGGCCTTCACGGCTCCCCTTTACAGCCCAGACTGCCTGGGGGCTCCTGGGGGTTCGGTCAGTTAGGTGGCTGCCTTCAGCTGGGGTCATGATCTCAGGGTCCTGGATGGAGCCCTGCTCAGCGGGGTGTTTGCTTCTCCCTGTCCGCCTGACCCTCCCTCTGTTCATGTGCTCTCGCTAATAAATGAAATCTTAAAAGAGAAAGAAACTGGGACTGCCTGTCCCACAACTCCCTCTTTCCTTTGCCTGCTCTCTCTCTCTCTTTTTTTTTTTAAGATTTTATTTATTTATTTGACAGAGATCACAAGTAGGCAGAGAGGCAGGCAGAGAGAGAGGGGGAAGCAGGCTCCCTGCTGAGCAGAGAGCCAGATGCGGGGCTCGATCCCAGGACCCTGGGATCATGACCTGAGCTGAATGCAGAGGCTTTAACCCACTGAGTCACCCAGGCGCCCTGCCTGCTCTCTTTATCTTGCATGTTTTCTGCCTCCCCCTCCTCAGACGTTTTATGTGAGTTTTCTAAGGGGCAGGAGTTTTTGTCTTCTCTCTTCCTGCTGTACTGTCAGAGCAGCGAACTTCGTTATACAGCAGTAGAAGGTATTCGGTAATTGCTAAGTAGAATAAGAGCAGTTTGCAAACACAAATAAAATGCCAACAAGTGGTCGTAAAACTGCAAGTTAAAACAATGAGGTGCTATTTACCTGTGAGCTTATAAAAACACATAAATCAGGGGGCCTGGGTGGCTCAGTGGATTAAAGCCTCTGCCTTCAGCTCAGGTCATGATCCCAGGGTCCTGGGATCGAGCCCCGCATCGGGCTCTCTGCTCAGCAGGGAGCCTGCTTCCCGCTCTCTCTCTGCCTGCCTCTCTGCCTGCTTGTGATCTCCATCTGTCAAATAAATAAACATAATTTAAAAAAAAAAAACATAAATCAGTACTGAATGTTACTGAGAGTATGAAGATGTAGAGGCATTTATACAGTTTTCATTGGAGTTTAAATTAGTAAAGTTTCTTAGATGATAGTTGTTTGTACTAAAATTTGAAATGACCCAAGAATTCTAGCTTGAGGACATAGAAAAAATAAAGGAATTTCTGCTCCTGTGCAAAAAATAAACAAACAAACAAAAAAACAAAAAAAAAAACCCAATGTATAAGGATATTAATTGCAGCCTTCCTCGGAACGGTGAAATTTGAAGCATCCATCAGGAGGGGCAGTTACATACCGCTGGCTCATTGTTCTGTGCCACAGATATGGCAGGTGAAAATATTACAGTGCCTGTAGGGGAAGTGACAAGTAGAGGTCTCATCCCTATTTATGAAATGGAAAGATTTTTTAAAAATGACACATGAAAAAGATTTGAAGTACGAATAGTTTAATCCAGGTTCTATTAAGAAAAAGCCAGCGTGCATGCTCATATGTGTATATAAACACACAATGGAAGCTGGAGAGATGTACACCAACTTTTGACATGAGTTCTGAAGAGAGGGGTGGGAATGAGGAGTCATTCAAAAGTAACCCTTTCCTGTTTTCTCCAAGTATTTTTGTATTGTCACCAGGTACTGGAGAGATGGGAGGTCAGTAATGGCTGAGATCTGAATGCCTGTCCAGTGCCTCGTAATCATTACACAAGGTCCATCTAGTTTTCTAAGTCTGGTTTACAAATGGGAAAGGCAGGTGTATTATCTTCAGTTACTTACCCAAGGTTCTATCTTGAATTGCTTTATGCCTACATTTATTTTTAAATAAAAAGATTATGTTTAAGAGCTTTAACTATTTTTTTTAACCCTAAGACTCTTGACCTATATCTTTTTAAAGATATACTTATTTGAGAGAGAGAGAGAGAGAGAAAGGGGGGCAGGGAGGAGCAGAGGGAGAGGGAGGCTTCCCGCTGAGCCTAGAGTCTGACGAGGGGCTCGACCTCATGACCCAAGATGATGACCTGAGCCGAATTCAGGAGCGGAATGCTCAGCCAACTGAACCACCCAGGCGCCCCTGACATATTTTTATGTTAGTAAAGGTAGCGCTATATCATTTTTAACAGCTATATAATACTCCTCTTGCTGATGTATTATAACCAATTAGGCCAGTTCCTATAAATGGGCACTCAGGGTACTTGTTATGTTGGACTTATAAGCTGCAGGAACATTACACACATAATTGTGTAGATTGTCTGACAATATCCTCAGGACATATTCCCAGATCTGTAAGTGGAGAGCCAAAGAAGAAGATTCCCAGTGTTGATACACATTCCCACATTACCTTCCAGAAAAGCCATGTTGATCACATTCATCCAACATCATATATTGTCCTTCGTGTAAATTTGTGAAAAACAGTAACAATCTCTGTATATGATTCTGAAATACTTTATTTGCAAAACAAAAATGACCAGCCTGATCATAAGTACATCTTTGTTAGTAAAATTAATAAGTGATGTTGATTTACTTTTTTTAAAGATTTTATTTATTTATTTGTCAGAGCACAAGCAGGCAGAGGGAGAAGCAGGCTCCCTGCTGAGCAAGGAGCCCAGTGCGAGACTCGATCCCAGCACCCTGAGCCAAAGGCAGACGCTTACCACACTGAGACACTGAGCCCTCCCAATAAGTGATATTTAAATTAACCAATTTGTTTTTGATGTTTTTCAAGGTAGAAAATTTTGAAGTTATAATGACTACTAATGTAGAGCTTATATGTATGTTATAAATACTACTTAATATGTGTATTATAAATACTACTTAATCACATAGTTACTATTTGAAGAGTATCTCTACTCTCATGTTTTGCATAGAAAGCCTCCGAATTTTCAGGCATTTTTAATATGCACTGTTTAGTGCATAGTAAGGGAAAGTAGTATGGAGAATTCCAACTATCACATAATGACAAGTCACTGGTGTTTAGAATGGATTATACTGAAAATGTAATAATTGAGCATAGTTGTATTTGACTTCCGGGTAATATTTTTTTCACTACATCAGTGACTAATGAAATGTCAATGTGGAAACTGCCAGAAAGCTCCTTATTTCCTTCATTTCCTTTCTTGGTGCTGATGGAAATGAACAATAAAATGTCTCATAAGGTCACCCCACCAGGGCACAGCCCTTTTCTCTCTGCGTAAGCTCGCATCTGACTGCCTCACGGGCTCTTGGGAAGAAGAGAATGTAAGCAGAGCCTGATGAAGTGATTTTGTGCAGTGGCTGAATTAGGAGGAGGAGGAAGGCAGGTTCCTTGTTTCTCTTTTAGTTCCTATTGGACCATCTACAGCCTGCAGCGAGAGCCAGCAGAGGGACTAGGAAGGCCCAGGCGTATGTCATAGAAAGTAGCTGCTGTCCAGCATTCATTGCTGGTTGCTTCAAGGTCTGATGGGGCCAAGCCCCCACGGACAGCTGAAATTTGATTCTGTTGTCACCTTTGACTTGGGGGACTACACATGATGGGGTGTCCACACTGCTCTGTGAAGCTCTCTGGGAAACCGGCCTCAGCACCGTCTCTCACTGTCTGCTCCTCATCTCTTTGCTGGACGGACAAATGCCACCCCCAGACACCCGACAACAACAGTGCAGGAGGCCAGCAGCTATTTATTTAGGGGCCGCGCACTGAGTGCCTGCTGTTTCACGCACTGTCCTCCATGCCAGGGACGTGGGAGTGAGCCTTCCCAAAGTTCTTGCCTTCAGGGCCCCACTTTCGGTCATGAAGAGACATGCGTCAGAAAGTCCCATTAGCCATTAATCACAAGTCTGAGACATGCTACAAAAGCCAACCACTAGTGTCATGGCAGGGGTCACCCCGGCCCAGCTCAGCAGAACAAAATCCAGGAAGAGCATGGCTACTGGTAGAGAACCCGCCCCAGAGGACACCAGGCACAAGACCGTGCATGTTTCCAGCACTCCAGACACTCGAGGATGTGAGATCGGCGCACTGAGGCTAGACCCCCGGGCCTTCAGGAACTTAATCGCTGAAGTACGGCTCCTGGTGCAAATGGCCATCCAGATGGCACCACCGCTGACCAGTCCTTCTTCTGCCTTTGCTTTTCAGGCACAGTTTGACATTGCAGTGGCCAGCGAGATCATGGCCGTGCTGGCCTTGACTGACAGCCTGGCGGACATGAAGGAGCGGCTGGGAAGAATGGTGGTGGCCAGTGACAAAAGTGGGCAGCCTGTGACAGCGGAAGATTTGGTGAGTGCATCCATCCCAGGAGCTCTGGAGAGATTGTAATGTCCCTGGCCCGTGTTCAGGAGAATGGAGGTCATCTTCTTACCAGCGTGTGTCACAGACATCCCAGACCATGTCTACACTCACGTTTTCCCCTCACAAGACTGCTGTCTTACAGCGTCTATGATGTGCTTGTCCCTGGCTGCAACCACAGCACGTGACATGTATTTTCTAAGCGTTTCAGGACTCTTGGCAGCCCCGATCTCTGCTCTCTGCCCCGGGCAGGGCGACCTCCTTTGTAGCTCATGGCTTTTTCATAAAGGCCAATAGTGCCTGCTTCCGATGGAGGAAAATCGCCTTTCAAAAGAATAAGAAAGTGACTCCACCTTCATGAAAGGGAGCGTATAGCGCAGATTCATGAAAGGGAGCATAGAGTGCAGATTGGCCCTGACTTGTTTAATTCTGTGCTTTCTTTATATTTGGGTATGACACCCAAATCCCCTTAAATCCTTCTTAGCATCTAGCTCCCCTTCGAGTGCAACAGTGCCTCCCGTTAGCTTTCTGGGTACCCTGGTGCGTCACTGTCCCTTGTAGCGCTCATTCTAACTTGGCACGCCCATCGTTTTCCCTCTTCGTAATCACCATCTTTGCTGTTACCTTAAACCCTGTTGGTATGGCTGTTTCACGTGCTTGAGTGTAGGTGGGACAGAGGCCTCAGGAAAGCCATTGAGCACCCTAAATTTCAGCTAACTTTCCCACATACGGGTCACGTACCATGACGGCAGCTCAAATGCACGCTGATGGTTGGAAAGGGAAAAGACAAATTAATATTTTAATTCCGAGAGGTTAGGGCATAATTGGACCCTTTGCCAGAGTGTCTTGATCACTTTTTGGCTGCTTTTGAAGAGACGAATCTGACTGATTTGTCTCGTAGGTCTTGTGCACTAAATTAAATATTTTTGTTAGCAGCCCCTAGGATGCTTTATATAATAAAGCTGAATGAGAAAACCCACATCCAGGTTGCTGTTAAGGGTACTGTTTTTTATAAACCACGAACATGTGACATGTCTACGTAAACTAACGTATTACGGTTTCCATATCAATATATTCCCCTGTATCCTCTTAATCTTGGGTATCAATAAATACGCATCCAAAATAATTTGAAACTTATTCTGCCACATGATTTCCCCTACATTTATTTTCACATGTGTATGGCAAAAACCTTAGCTCTGAAAACAAACCCCAAGTTTACTCTCTTTAATCATATTTTGTGTCTCTTTTTTACAAAAAGCGCCCAACTTCTTCCAGTTATGTTTCCTACCAGCTGGAACTATCAATAGCTGGTCTTTCATGGAAAATTAAAGGAAGATTTTAAGAGCTTCCGCTTTTTCTTTTCACTCCTTTATAATTTTTTATATACTCTGATTTGGCCAAAAGGACTTAGGTCTTGCACAAGAATTCGAGTAGATAGCTTCTCAACATTTCTTATAAGGTGATTGACTCCTGGCATCCTCTGGAAGAATGTGTCCAAACTCTCTCCTCCTGGACACGGGACATGGAACAGGTGCTGAGTTCACAGTGGCCATGACAGCCCCAGAGCTGCTGTCTGCATGGGCTTGAGGATAGTGTGTTGGAGCAACAAAAGATAAGCGATGTCTCAGGAAAATCAGCAGGTGTGTGCTACCTGAGGCGGTCGAACTGAAATGTCCACCTTCCTTCCGCCTCTAGTTTCTTGCTTATACCAGGAAGTGTAAGCAAGCGCAGCGTCCAGAAAGCTCAGCAGACCGCTGTTTTTCTGTCTGCTCTGTGTAAAGAAAAGAACTAATTTCTTTGAGCCCTTCCTAGCCAGTGAGTCTCACAGTAAAACATCTTAATATTGCTGGGACTGCCTGGGTGGCTCAGTGGGTTAAGCCTCTGCCTTCAGCTCAGATCCTGATCTCAGGGTTCTGGGATCAAGTCCCACATCAGGCTCTCTGCTAGGCAGGGAGCCTGCCTCCTCCTCTCTCTCTCTCTCTCTACTTATGATCTCTCTCTCTGTCAAATAAAATCTTTAAAAAAAAAAAAAAACATCTTCATATTGCTTATAATAGGTTGGTGGCATTTTCTATAACATCTATCTTGTACAGTAAAGCAGAATATAAATTGGATTTTCCTGTAAACTTAAACCCTCAAGATTCTGCCCCCTGATGTGTTGAGATCTGTGACGTGCCACGTTTATCTTCTCAAGGCGATGTTCCCACAGTGTTTACACACATTGCCGCCTTACGGTGCGGCCAAGACACTTGGCCGGCATCTGTAGAAAAGGTGAAAGGGCTTTGTTCTGTTGGTTTTGTTTCTCTACAGCTTCCCTGTGGCCTTCTTTGACCCGCTTGTTCCAGCAGTTCTCAGATTTCTTTCCTGTTTCTTCCATCTCCCGTCTGTCTTTTTCAGAAATGGGGAACAGGGACGCAGCGGGAGCCCCACCCAGAGCTTTGCAGGCTTGGGAGGAGGCAGCCGTGTTTTACGTGCGGGAGGCATCAGCTCCGTTCCAGGCATGAGAGATGGAAAATGAGAAGCTTTTCCAATGTAGCCATTTTCTGAGGGTCTTCTGGATTGTGGGGTGAGGCCCTGGGAAACCAGTGGCTTCTCCGTCGCTTTTAGAAACATAGGTGCTTTTAGACACTTCCCTTTATCCCTCTCCGTTTCCCGCTCGGTCAACAGCCTGATTTTCATACATTATTGGATTTCTTCAAGCAATGGCATAATCTCTGATAATGAAAAAATAATGTGCGTAATTGCCAGAAGACCCCGGAAGGCAGACCGAAAGATCTGCTTTAGGGCAAGCCTCGTAAACACCACCAAGGAAGGTTTTTTCAAAAAAGGTGAGGACTGCCACTTGCCCTTCACATCTCGGAATGGTTGACATCCACTCTCGTGGGGACGAGAAGGGTCCAGCCAGCCGCGCTGTGTCCCCTGCGGCTTGGACCGGAGCGCCGCCTGTAGGAACGCCCACCTACAAGGCCAGCTGCCCGGAAACGGCCACGAGAGTCACCTTAGCACGGATGACCTTTTGTCAACAGTCTAAAGCAGGTTTCTTTTTCCTCTCCTTTAGGGAGTCACGGGTGCCTTGATGGTTTTGATGAAAGATGCAATAAAACCGAATCTGATGCAGACCCTGGAGGTGAGTGACTTTCTCGCTATGGAAACTGTTGGCAGAGTTTGCGTTCATCAGATCGGGTGTGCGTCCCCACATGACGCGAGCATTTCCAGCCCATGTGGGCCCCCCGGGAGCATCCGAATAAGTCCCGGGTCATCTGAAAAAAGTTAAAAGTGTACGTAAGGATTCTTTGCCTTGGGTAACGCAGTAGAAACATTAAAAACTCCGTATCGAATACATCAGTGAGTTAGGTGCCGTGTTTATGGGATGTTTTTTCTGTTTTGCCTCTTTTGGACTTAGCTTCTCATCATTATAGGGTTCTTTGGTTTGTTTTTCCCAAGCAAAATACAGAGCACATGCTGAGAAAGGTTTCACAGAAAGCATGCTGACGCCACCTTTCGTAAGATTAACCCTGCTCCTGCCCAGGGGGCAAGGAGGTTGGAGGAGAGCGAGCAGAGTCTCCATCCATTCGTTCACTGAGCCGAGAGAAAGCTCAGTTTGGGTGCAACCTCTGCCATTGACTGGCCGTGGCCTCGGCCAAGTATTTACTAACCTCAGCCTCTGTTTTCCCAGGTAAAATGGTGATAGTAACGGAGCAGGGTTATCATGAAGATTCAGCATTCACTGAGCCCATCATGCGGGCAGGCCTTGCAGTAGGAGCTTAGGACAGCAAGTCCCACTCTCTTGGAGCTTGTCCTTAAGTGGGGGGGACAGACGATCGAGAAATGAGTCCATACATAGCATGTCAGCTGGTGGCAAGGACTGAATTAGAAAAACAGGAGGGAATGAGAGAACAGAGAGTGAGGTGGGTGGCGTCTGATGACCAGCGATGTGAATGGACCAGGAGACGGGGGAAGTGCTTTCTGGGTGGAGGGTGACATGTGGCGCAAAGGCCTATGGGCAGGGATGAGCTCTCCGGTCAGAAGGGCTCCAGCAGAGTGAGAATCCAGACATGAGGCAACAGGACAGAAATGGCGGAACCAGCCAGAGCTGGAAGGTCTGAGGTGAGGGTGCAGAGCTGAGCCGGGGAGGGGAGAACGCAAGCACCTTCTCGCGGGGTCTCTCCCTCCTACAGGTGAGCCCCTTCCTCTCTCCCAGCATTCCATTGGCGTGCAAGCATGCTCTGGTAGAGGCCGTCTTAAAACAAAACAGTCCCCCAAACCTGCCAGGATCCAGTGTCCCCACACAGCTGCTGCTCCATTCTCTGCTCTGTCACGGTCAGACATTAATGTCTGTGGCCGGGGTCTCCGCCTTGTCCCCTGGCTCTCCTCATAACTTCAGCCTGACCTGAGCTTCCCCCTCTCCTGGATGCTCCTGTCAAGGTCACCTGTCCCTCTGTGCTACCAATTCTTCCTTTTTCTGTCCTTCTCTGTGTGGTCTCTTCACAAGGTCTGACCCAGCTGATGTTTCTTCCGTCTGGAGCACTTGGTTCTTCTGGCTTCTGGGACACCTCGTGGCTCTGGGCCTCCCACTGTCTTCCCTCCCCCTTCCCCTCCCCTTCTCCTTTGCTGGCCTGGCCTTGGCTCAGCTTCTAAATGTGAGAGGGTCTGAGCTCTCACTTCTCCAGCCGTACTTCCCTCCCACTCCATCAGCCATGGGCTGACCCCCGAACTTTTTTTTTCTTTAAAGATTTTATTTATTTATTTGACAGAGCACAAGCATGGGAAGCAGCGGAGGCAGAGGGAGGAGCAAGCTCCCCGCCGAGCAGGGAGCCTGATGTGGGACTCCGTCCCAGGACCCTGGGATCATGACCTGAGCCGAAGGCAGACGCTTAACCCATGGAGCCACCCAGGTGCTCCCTGACCCCCCAACTCTTGTTCTGAATCTCCTGACCTCAGAATTTCAGAGTTGTGGGTGTACTTGCTGAGAGCCATTGCATATCAAACCTGGTTATAAAATAGGGTCTTTGATTTCAAACCCAGTCAGCGGTTCCAGCCAAAATCCTAGGAGTCGTCCCGGAGCCTGGTTCCCTCTCCCCCGCCCGTCTCCATCCCTGCAGAGCCTCCCTCCCTGACCCGTCTCTGACCCGTCCACTTCTCTTGCCGCCTTGTCCTCCAGCGTGCCCTCTCGCCCTGCCACAGTGGCTGCTGTTAACAGTCGTTCCTCCAGAATCCTCTGTCTGCTCAGCTGCCCGGGAGCTTGAAAACTGAATCGCTCCTATTGGCCTCCTGCTTAGAGCTCTTGGGTGGTTTGCACTGGCCCTCATTCCGGCTGGAAACCCTTCAGGACCTGGCTCTTCCCTCCTTCTTCCCTCATGCTCTCTCTTCCTGTCTGGGACGTTCCTCCTGATTTCACTGATTTCACGTGTCTGTCTCCTTCTTGTTCGTTAGGACTTGTGTCCTTTAGATATCAGCACCCCGGAGAGGCCTTCCCGGGCCACAGTTCAACACAGCCCCAGTCAGTGTGTCCCGTCGCTGTCTTGTCACTCTGGCACGGCACGGAGTGTGTCACCCAAAAGTTCCCTACTTCCTTGTCCGGGAGGGGAGCAGGACCCATCCCACCGGGCTCACCACCAGATCATGGCTCTGAGAAGCTGCCTTGCACATATTAGGTGCTCAGCAAACATCTGTTGAATAATTAATGAATACCTATTAGTTTTACTACATGGCTTGTCACCGTGCTGCGGGCTGCCGGGAGACTGCTAGTTCTCAGTTCTGGCTGCACACTAGACTCTCCTGGAAAGATTTTTTTTTTTTTTTTTAAAGATTGTATTTATTTATTTCAGAGAGCATGTGCAGGAGCGCAAACAGCAGGGGAGGAGCACAGGGAGAGGGAGAGAGAACCTCCCTGAGCGGACTCCTCCCTCAGCACAGAGCCCAACAGGGGGCTTGATCTCAGGACCCTGACATCATGATCTGAGCCAAAACCTAGAGTTGGCCACTCAGTCCGCTGAGCCTCCCAGACACCCCGTCATAGTTTTTTAACTAAGGACTTAACTCTGCGTACGGTATCAGAGCCATAAATATAGGCTGAGCATCTGAGCCTGTGTGTCTCGTGGAGTGTCTAATGCAGAGTCCTTATCTCCAAGAGTGCATATCTCGAAGAGTGGTTATCTCGGGAGTGGTTATCTCAGGGAGTGGTTGTCTTGGGAAGAGTGAAGGGTTTGTGGCAGTCCAGCCCACCCTGTCACCTATCCCCCGCCAGAGACCAGTGTTTGGTGAATGCTGCGATGGGAAACCCAGGGTCGGAGCCTGGGACCTTGCCCTCCTGACACTGTCCCCGGCCCCGCTGGCATACCACAGGCAGCCATAGTCCGGACTGCAAGGGGAAGAGGTGATGGACGCTTGAAGGTCCTCTAAACAGTGTTTTCTTCAGAGCATTTGAAAGGTTTATCTGGGCAGACATGAGAAGCTAAAGATAGGCACACAGGTCTAGACACTAGACACACGCATGAAACTATCCCTCAGCACCTACGTTTGGATTTTCTGTTGCCAACTTTATTTCCCCAGACGTTTGCGTGACCTCATCAGGGACCTGTCGTTGTCCCTCCTGGGCACTCTGGAATAAAAGTAAAGAGAGAACTCACAGAATGGCTTTGATAAACCCTGTCTCATTCTCAAAGAAGACTTTTCTCTCACTGCCTTTCTTCCCACTTTTGTTCAGCTCTCTCGTCTTTGAAATATATTCAGCTAGCAGCCCATCGTGGTTCTTGGGAATTTTCCGTGGCTCCCAGCCTCCCCCCTCTGTCACTCACTGCCTCCCCCCGTCAGTCAGAGGGCAACGTCTGTTTTCACAGGTGCAGCCAAGGCCTCACAGACACAGACCCCAGCAGCCCCGGCTGGGCTTGGGCTCAAACCCCAGCATTGCAATGCATGGGGATTAATTCCTTCAGATAGGGCTACAGTCTGTTCTCACTGATAAAGGAGAACTGTAGAAATGGCATTTAAAATGAAATATTGACAGATTTTCTCTAAGAATTAAATCTCAAAGTTTTGATAATTCCCTTCTATCAGAGTCAGTTTGGTTTGTTGTTGTTGTTGATTTTTGCCTTTTTAGTAAGAATTACTCTAGCATTTTACCAGGAGTGAAAATTTGCTTTGCTTTTATTGTCTCAATACTGACCAGATCTTTAACACATAAGCCAGCTGAACAATGAGAAAGGCTTAAAACAGAATTTGTAAAAATCAGAAGAACAAGTTTATTATTATAGATATAAAAATGGCCTATAATGAACATAAACCTTATATGGTTGTCCTGCCGTACTACATGGTTCATTAATTGTATTGATTTTTATTTGCTTTCTTTAGATTTTTCTTGAAGTGATTGATTTCTCAATGGAGAAAAAAAAATGCATTTAAATAAGCCTCTTAGACGATCGGGTTTAATTCTATTCTTCTAAAAAATATATATGGGGCACCTGGGTGGCTCAGTGGGTTAAAGCCTCTGCCTCCAGCTCAGGTCACGATCCAGGAGTCCTGAGATCGAGCCCCGCATCGGGCTCTCTGCTCAGCGGGGAGCCTGCTTCCCCCCAACACTGCCTGCCTCTCTGCCTACTTGTGACCTCTGTCTGTCAAATGGATAAATAAAAAATCTTTAATAAATAAATAAATAAAAGTAAAAAATATATTTAATTTGGGGCACCTGGGTGGCTCAGTAACTTAAGCATTTGCCTTCAGCTCAGGTCATGATCTCAGGGTCCTGGGATCGAGCCCTGCATCGGGCTCCCTACTCAGTGCTGAGTCTGCTTCTCCCTCTCCCTCTGCCCCCTGCTCCCTGTTTATCATCTTTCTCTCTCTCTTTGTCAAATAAATAAATAAAATTTTCTAATATATTAATATATATAATTCAAAATACTGTGAAGTGAGTTAAATAGTTTACTTAATAGTTAGGCAGCTAATGAGTGCTTTACCAAAACAATCATAGGAAATAATCAATCCTTATATAGGTTTTTCTCCCTAGTTCAGCATTTAATATGGAATGACACTGTTGTAGAATATACCAGGAATTTGGTCCTTTGAGAGAGTCAAGGTGTTTCTTTTTCTTTGAGAGGATTTGCACACTGAATATGCAGTATTAATAAAAACAGAACGGGTTCAGTGAGTCTTTAAATACCAAGACTTGCCATCTTGGTTCATCCCTCCCTTTGTCTCTGAGGGTTTTGATTTGTCCTTGAATTTCTATAGGGGACACCTGTATTTGTGCATGCCGGCCCCTTTGCTAACATCGCCCATGGCAACTCTTCAGTGTTGGCTGATAAAATCGCCCTGAAACTGGTTGGTCAAGAAGGATTTGTAGGTAAGTCATTTCTGTTAAATTTAGTTGTCGTAGAGTATGGAAGAAATCTAAACGTCGATGACTGAACAAGAGTGCTATGCATTCTGATTTGAAATATGTTCTTTTAGACCCACCTTTCATAGATATTGGAAAAGCCCTATGGTCTGGTCTATACTAGTGAAGTGATGTGTTCAAATCATACATTCTGATGTCAGGTACTCATGGATTTGAATCTGAGCTCTGACACTTGCTGCTAGAGTGATTTTAGACACATTTGAATGACCTCTGAGCCTCAGTCTTCTCATCCATAAAATGGTGATGACAATATTGTATCCAACCTTGTAGAGTTATTGTGAAAACCAAATGAGAGTATTTATTGACTGAGCCAGTATTTATTGAGAAACTACTACGCGCAAGTCATACTACTCAGACCTGGAAATAACCCCGTGAGGAAAAGACCGAGCCCCGCCTTCATGGATCGGACTGCCTAATGCTGTACATAACTAACAGAAGAAGTGCTTGTTAACTATTAGCTGTTATTAGCAGTAGAAATCAGTTTGCTCTTCCTCAAATCATAGTATGTTTTCGTGTCGAATGGAGGGGACATTTCCAAGTCCAGCTGTTGGACTTGGAAATTTTAATTGTTAGGACTTCCGACTTTGTGCTAAGGTCACGGTGTACGTTGTGGTACCTTCTTCTCTTCGGTTTTCGATGGACGTTTCTGGTCAGGGAGAGGGGGCAGCTGCCAGCGTTTGCTCTGTCAGTGCTAGCCCCCATCTCACCCCCGAGGGCGACAAAGGACAAACAGATAGCAGGGAGTCTTGGAATAACAGCACCATTTGACATCAGACAGACTGCACTGGCAGACGTTCATGTGCCATGGGTAATTTCCGCTCGCCATTCGTGCCCGTGGTCCTCAAGTCTACCAGATGCTGCTTTCACACTAATCATCGGCCTTGTATCAAACTCGAAGTGAGCTGTTTTACTAGAAAAAATTCTACCGGGCTAAAGAACTTAGCACTGCACTTTTATGCTCAGCCATTCTAAAGTTCATTCAGGGTTATGGAGACCTTTTTTAAGAATTCCCTATGGACATGCAGGCAGGACCCAATGGGAATTTATGTAGTTCATTCCTCAAGGTCCGTATCGTATAGGTCTTGTGTACTCGGCCACCTGGTACCGAGTCCACTCTGAGAGTGGCTGGACGTGCCGCGGAAATGGATTTGCTCAATTGATCACAGCATAATTGTGGGGCTAATACACCGGGAGTCTGGGAAGGGCAGGCCCTGAAAAGTTGGGTGCTTATATGAAGGGGGGTTCTCATGCGTCAACTCCACAAATAAAAGAGCTTCTAGAAGAAAGCACTCTGTTTTGTGCTGACGGAGCTCTCTGCTCCTGTACAAATCCTTACTTTGTCCATATGTATTTACAGAGTACGTGTTATTGTGGCAAAGCGTCATTAAAGATATGAGCTGATGGTGCACACAAAACATGACCCTGGGAAATCCATTAGCCTCTCGGGGAGTGTCCCTTGTGGACATTCTCAGGTGAAAAAGGAGAAATGAGGAATTGCATGTGACCGTGAGACAGAAGCTGTGGGATCATGACCTGAACTGGAACTGCCTACCTACGGTGGGCAAGTTACTCAGCTTCTCTAGGGTTCAGTTTCCTCTCTTCATAACTGCGATATTTTAATGAGTAGTGTCAAGTGAGACATTGCTGTGTGAACCATGGTGGACCAGTCAAATGGCAGTGATTTGGCTAATGATTTCTATGACCTCCTCCAGTCTGAGAGGCTGTAGGTTGGGGGCAGAGTTCAGTGACGGAAATCTGTCCACTGCCAGATGGCTTAGAGAGTTAGCTCTAGAGTCAGAGTAACAGGCTCCACTCCTTTCAAACTGTGTAACGTTAGGTAACTTCTTAGCCTCGGTTTCCTTATCTGTAGAATGGGGCTTTAAACAGGGCTTGCATCATAGGTTTGAAAAGAGGTTTGAGGGGCGCCTGGGTGGCTCAGTTGGTTAAAGCCTCTGCCTTCGGCTCAGGTCATGATCCCAGGGGCCTGGGATCGAGCCCCGCATCGGGCTCTCTGCTCAGCGGGGAGCCTGCTTCCTCCTCTCTCTCTCTCTGCCTTCCTCTCTGCCTACTTGTGATCTCTGTCAAATAAATAAATAAAATCTTAAAAAAAAAAAAAAAAAAGAGGTTTGAATGAGACTATTTGTTAAGACCTGACACATGGTGAGACTCGGCGACAGCTCTCAGCCACTCCTCATCATTACTCTCCCCATAGCTGATCCGTATTAATAAAAGTTAAATTTCCACTTTTCCATTTAGAGTTTGGGGGTAGGTTTTTTTGGGGGGATTTGTTTTTGTTTTCGTTTTTGTTTTGTTTATGATAGTGATTTTATTTTTAACTGTAGTAGGATACATCTAACGAAATTAACGGTTTTAACCATTTTTAAGCGCACCATTCATTGGTCAGATACTTTAGCATTACCGTGCCACCATCGCCGCCATCCGTCTCCGGGACTCTCTTCATCTTGCAAAACTGAAACTCTGCACCCGTTAGACAATAACTCCCCACTCCCCCAGCCCCTGGCAACCAGCCTTCTACTTCCTGTCTCTGAGTCTGGACTGTTGCCTTCATATGACTGGCTTATTTCACTTAGCATAATGTCCTCCGAGTTCACCCGTGGTGGATCATCTGTTCAGATTTCGGTGCTTTTCAAGCCGAAGCATGCTCCAGTTTATGTATGCCACGTTCTGTTTATCCACTCATCTGTCTGCGAACACGCGGGTTGCTTTCATCTGCCAGTTCTGGTGAATAATGCTGCTGTGAACGTGGTACGCAAATAACTCATTTTATGTTCGTTTTAATGCATAAAGATCACGCTTCATTTTGCATAACTGTGCGATAGCAGTGACTTGCAAAATACATATAGACTCAAGATCTATAGTGTTAAACTCTCACAAAGGTGATACCCTAATGCCATGGCTGCATTGGAATGTGGGAAGCAAAGCCAACATCCTGAACTGTGGGAGCTGGGCACAGTCGGGAGACAGTGCTCCTGCCCCCCCTTGTCTGGTCAAGGTTGATCTGTGGGCTGCGTTGGATAAAATTTTAATTAATGTATGGTTCCTCTAAGAATTTTTTTTACATTCCTCTAATCACTTTCAATCATAAGAATAGTCTCATTCTGGCGTACCTGGGTGGCTTGGTTGGTTAAGCATCTGCCTTTGGCTCAGGTCATGATCCCAGGGTCCTGGAATCAAGCCCCACATCAGGCTCCTTGCTCAGTGGGGAGACTGCTTCCCCTTCTCCCTCTGCTTCTCCCTTTACTTGTGTACTTTCTCACTCTGTGTCAAATAAATAAAAATCTTTAAAAAAAAAATAGTCTCATTCTAATAAAAAATGTGGATGCAGTCTTACATAAAAATAACTCCAAATTTCATCCCAATTTAAGTCTCTCCCATCTTGGGCCTGCGTTTGGCTAATCATGGGAAGGGAACAGTGGCGTCTTCTCTGTCCCGCATCACCGTGCACTTGGTCTGCCTCTGGCCCCTCTAGGGTTGAAGCTTTCACATTTGATGGTACCCATTCAGCCTCTTCCAGCAGAGACCCACACTGCTGACAGAAACCCTCTGGGCGGTATGAGACCGTCCTGCTGCTCATCTAGTACCTGATCTCCAGACACCACAGACCTTTGACCTTGACCTTACTGTTGGCGGGGGTGCAGTTACAACTCTCACCTGAGTCTCTGTCCCACTGCAGGGGCTGTTTCTCCTCAGCCTGTAAACATCTATGCATCCCCAAGCCACCACTGTGTCCCTGCCTTAGAGGGACCTCCAGCTATGCATGTAAAGCCTCCCTCACTAGCTCCGTATCCTTTCCACTGGGATGTGGGCAACGGGCTTCTGCACACTGATAACTTTCTCTGAAGAAATCCTTTCCTGGTTCCTAACTTGATCAACCCGTTGAAAATTCAAGGTAGCTGTTGGGCTAAAAGATACAGAATCTATTTTCAAATAATGTTTTTGCAAATGCTACTAGGTTTAGCTTCCTCCTTGAACATGAGAGGAATTGACACTGTTTTGGGGGCTTCAGACAAAAGTGAAACCAAAAGAGCCCCATTTTAACATTCTCCCACAGAATTAAATGCAGTAAGTAGAGGTTTTTCTGAAGCCTGTGAGACAATTTATGTCCTTAGAAAAGTCATTGTTTATAGAAGTGTGTACCTCTTAAGACATAAAAAGCCCAAATCCAAAAGAAGATTGATAATTTGGGTTATGTTAGAAAACAAATTCTGTGTGATAAAAGATAAGGATTTAAAAAACAAGTGACAGAGTAGGAGAAATCTTTGCAGTGGTAATAGACAAATGACGAACATTTGAAATATATACAAACCACCAAGGATTATGGATTGATTTTTTTTTTAAGACAAGTAATCCAACAAAAAAAAATGGGCAAAGGATTTGAAAGGGTAATTTACAGAAAAAGAGCACTCCGACAGAATTTCTGGGTCAAACTGAAAATGAGCAAACCGTCTAGCAACTTCAGTTCTTTGTCATACCTTGGAGAAGAAGTAACTGAAGATTTATTTAAGTCATTTACGATACTTTCCTTTAGTGCACATGTATTGAGCTTCTGCTCTTATGTCAAGTAATAACATGGTGAGAGCTGGGAATCAGAGATACACAACATGGTTCTTAGCTCTAGTAATGTATAATGTGGTGTGAGAGATAAGCCCATAAACAGAACCTCAGTGGTAAGTGCAGTGCACTTATGAGATGAAGTATATTGATCAACGAAGAATCTTAAGAGATGATGGGCTTCTCTTAGATAGAATTTTCTCCATACTATGTTTTGTGAGGTATTTTTAGTCTAATTTTTTGTTCTATCCCAACACACCCAAGAGAGGAATTATTTTGTCTACTCTGTAATAATTATTCCAAGATAATGGAATCAATTTTCCATTTAGACTAAAAATAGAGTGAAATTTATTTAATTACAATTGACCCTTGAA